TACGATGATAAAAATAGAAATTATGATAATAAAAGAATGAGTATTAGTAATATTATCAATTAATTATCATAGTAATAAAACTCGTTGTTAATAATATAAGTTGGATTAATGATAGTTTTTAATCATAATTATAATAATAAATAATTATGCTAAAATTATTATTAGCAAGCAGCAACAAAATAATGATAATACAAATCATGTAGTATTATCATTATTTTGTCGCTGAGTCAAGTATCCATTTTTTTTAAAATTCGCTATAGCCAATTATTATTAAATATAATTAATGAAATTTCAAGAAGCTGAAGAATTATTACATTTACCATTTATTATCTCAAAATAAATAATATTTTTTTTTCACAAAAAATTTACTTAAAAAAATTTATTTTTAAAAAGTGAACTATTATAGCTTTTATATATTATATTTTGAGGAAAAGAAATTTGCTTGTCTTAAAAATTATTATTAATTACAATGAGAATTCGGTAAATTTAAATTAACCAAATCAAATATTAAACGGCAAATGAATTTCAAAAATTTCATATTAAAAATTAAGGTGTTAATGTTGACGATTTATTAGGGCAAGTTAAAGCATTTATATTAATGCAACAGATGTTGAAAATATAAATTTCAACCAAATTACTACTTTTATAGCATGAAATTGCTTACAGCTATTTTTTTCTCACATCTGTTTTCTGTTTATTTGGCAAATATTTTTATAATATATTTGTTGTAAACAAAAAGTGAATGGAAATAATCTACGATATATTGACATCAATATAGGTGGCATTAAAAATGTTTTCGCTTTTTTCTTCCAACCATTCAATGAATTGCTTTTTTTGAAAATAATACAAAAATATAAATTTTATATTTAACAGAAAATTTTATAATTTATTGTTAAATTAAATTTGTTATATTTAGTCGTATACTTCCTTTTTTTTTTCAACTTTTTAGATATATCATTCATTATTATTATTATTAAATTTTCTGTTTTTTAAATTTAACATGAAAATTCTTGTCATCAAAAATTACCAATGTTTTGATGTTATGCGATCGTTGTAGCAATGGGACATTTCAATTTATTACCAGCTGCATTTTAAATGCATTCTTTTTTTCTAATATATTAAAAAGGGAAAATTCTCGATGGTTAATAAATATATTTTCAAACATTTTAACGAAATTAATGTTTTAAGTAATTGAAATATAATATTAAATAGGATGATATAGGTATTACACAGCGTAATAGCATATTTTCTCTACTTTTATAGTATGAAATTGCTTAATGAAATTACCTTTTTTTCTAAAACTATTTTTTTTCACATCTTTTTTTGAATTTCAAAACTACGATGTTAGAAATGAAACAATTAAATTTTATATCAAAGATACACTGTTAACTGATATATTTGCTTATTTAATTATCATCAAATAATTGCATAGGAAGTTGTTGGATTATTTCAGCAATGTCGAATAAGTAAGCATTGATTTGTCGAATAAATTAATGCAGGCTATTATGCAATATTTTTAATTATGAACTAAAATTTAACAGGTATTGCAATAAAAGTAGGAATGGTTGTACATAATTGTTCGGAAATCATCAGACGATCAATAATAATCAATTAAATAAGATTATAATTAACATTCTAAGTGATCCAAAAAATAAATTTAATTGTTTTTTTAATATATCAAGATTGATCCCAACGTAGTGAGAAACCACTTAGTAAAATTGATGATTACTGAAGTTAATATTATTGTAATAAAATAGCTTTATTAACATTAATGTTAAATTTTAGGTTTTATCTCTTTTGCTGTGCTATTACTCGGGAATTTGTCACTATCCAAAATGTTGGCTTATTTGGTTTACAAAAAATCATCAACATGTACAGGTTATTTGTGCTAAATTATTTAATTATCATTGTAGTCCTACTTAAAACCACTGTCACTAATACATTATTACTTATCAATATTTTACGAATTATGAAACAATCGCAGTTTAAAGTGTTACATTATTATAAGAAACAAATTAAATGTGTATTTTAAATGTAATTTAATAAAATTTGATATAAAATTAATTAGGATTTAGGTTATCCTATAATGCAGAATTTAAAATGTTTAATTGTTGCACTGCATTATGATTAAATTATTTATCATTCTTGATTGAAATCGATGATAAATGTTAAAATTATCATCTACTACAATTTTGTGAGAACTACGTGTAATTTCATAGAATCTACATACATTTTCTGCCATTTAAGCGTAGTTTTGCAAGAGTTCTCTGCCATTTCATTTGTACATGCGATCTGATCATTTACGTGTGTTTTCGCATGCATTGTCTACGTGTGATTTCACACAATCTACATGCAATTTCATCATCTATATGCGATCATGCATTATCAGCATGCAATTTCGCAACATTTAAATGCAATTTCATTCAACATGAAGGAGCTAAAATTTGAAATTTTTGAATGAAATCAGTGAAAAATCTCGGAAAAATATTTCTGTAGCAATATAAAGATATTGCAGCTTATCATGCAGCTCTGTAACTTGCAAAACATTACATTTTTCAATATTTATCATAATTCGTTTTATTATTTGCAATTTTTTCTACATTTTTGCTTATTTGTTATCATGGTAAATTATAACTTTTGATTTCTATGATCGGTTTCATATTTCAGGAAGATTTGAGCAGTAAGATGAAAGGAAAAAGCGAAAATATTTCAAGCATTAGCTATCAAATATTGGATTTTTTTGCGATGTGTACAGCAATGGTCATCTTATTGTTATCATTCATTTGGTTGCTTGCTAATTCAATATTTAAAAAAGCCGAAATTAGGCAAACGTATAGTAGATTTGTAAGCTTTACTTTTTCTTTTTTAATTAATTTAGAGAAGGAACGAGAAGAGTGAAAATTGAGAAGTTGAAGAAAAATGAAGTTATTATATTAACTGTTGATTACTTCCGCGATTTTTGAATCTGATATTGGGATTGAATTTATTAGACATCAATTGAAGTAGTAGTAAAGATAGTAAACCGTCGTTATACTTTTCAATTTTAAATAGATTAAAAAGAATAGATTAGCAAGAAATTTTAACTTCAAAATTTCAAATAAGTAATTTAGACCTAATTAAATGGCATGTTAAACTAATTATTTCTACGACTTAAGTATGAAAAGCAATCACTTTCTTTCCTACTGAATTTATTACTCTAACTTTGAAGCTCGATAATTCGCTTTGAGGATAAAGAAATCATCTAACTCGTAGCCTTCGAATCAAAAGTCAAAAAAAGATTTGAAATTTTAAAAACGTTATCAGGAAATGCCAACTGCTGTAACATGCTCATTATTCGCCGGAATTTGCGCCGTTACCGAATTTCTTCATGCCATCGACTATTCATTCTTATATTGGAGTGAAAAATGGACACTCGCCGGTGTAAGTGTTCATTATATTATGAAACTCTTAAAAATTGCAAAGTTTCTTTGCTTCTTGCAAAATATCTGCCCGACAATTTTCAGATCGATGCAACAGCACTGTTATTTTTGCATGCAATTATTGCTTTTGCATTACGTTGACGAATGTTCAATGAAAAGTGAAAATGTACAAATTATAATTATTAATATTTTTTTTCTGAATATTTGATTGTTGTCAATCGACATGTTTGACTACTATGGGTAAGAGAAAGTTAAAATTTAGAAATACAATTCGCCAGATACAATGATTTTCTGATCAGCAAGGAATGAAATTATCTCTTGAGATACAATATGAATTGTATATGATATAAATTGAAGGGAGTAATTCTCAGTTGCTATCAACTACCGACAGTATAGTAGTAAAATCGCAACATACAACAAGCTAATATTGCATCAACTCCAAATTAACATATTGCAGCGAGAATGGTGCTGTGTTATTACTTTGAAAAGGATATGTCAGACCTTACCAGGTAAAAGAATCAGCATTTCCACTGCTAAGTCATCATTTTAAAATTTATTATGCATATAATTGAATTAGTACCAATTCCTTTACTTACTTGCGATATTTTTCAACTGCTATAAAAGGTCATGTGCCTTCACGTTTTGATGATTTAAATAAATCCATGGCTTTTTTTTCGAAGAGTACGAAACAGGTAATTGAACCGTCATTGCAAAATGCTGTACATTTACCAATTGGCATTTTACCAAAATGACAAAAACGAATGTAATCCACAAACGAACATATGGAACAAATATGAAACTTATATAGAGCATGTATAGTATCCAATGACAATATAATAATTAAGAAAAGAAACAAATATATCAGAGGAGCAAAAATATATGAAGAGTTAGGACAATCAAAAGCATTATGCTTCAGGAACAAAATATCTCATATAGCTGCATGGAAGTTTTGTGCATTTCGAAAACAACAATATGAATGATACTTTAAAAAAAAAAGTACTATTCACCCGTATCAGAAATGAAATCTAACATCCGAAAATTCTTCAGAGAGGAAGACGAAACAAAAAAAGAAAAAATGGCAGAGGCATATTATTTATGCAGTTATTACCGAACGTTTGAAATCGATGCCACCAACTGGATGCATGTGTATATTAGGATAAACTGTAAAATGTACGGCAAGCTTATCTGTTTAATGCCCATTTCATTGAGCATGACATTTTTAGAATTGTTATCTAATGGTAAATAACATCTATAAGAGCACAAAGAATTGCCTCAAAGAATTCCATTTCATTGCTCCTAAAAAGATTATATTGTAGAATGAGGTCAGGAAAACATAACAGCTTGATAAGAAAAAACAAAGATAAAGATAAACAGAAGCATAATTGGAATATTAAACTTTTAAAGTGCATTTACTAGCTGTCATTTACAGATTAATTTCGAAGAAGCATCAATTCCATTCAATCAGTTTAGTTTATGTCAGTGGTGACATCATCTGCATATCAATTGCACTGATGCAGAGATTCATTCTAAAAGTTAAAATGATGAAAGACATACAGCATACATAACCGAAATAGATAAACGCTATGATTTGAAGAAAGAACCAAGACGAAATTCAAAACTACTAAAATCTGCCGTTCCACCAATTCCAGCTGCATCATTCATTCCTGGACATTTGAAACGACCGCTTATTTGACCTATGATGGAACTTTGTTGATCCGATTTTGAGCTGTGTCGAAGAAAATTTTCCAACTGTAAGATTTTTAGAAAATGTATTATTTATAACAACTTGCTATGTCCATTCTCAACGTCCTCTCAAAACTATTAACAACTATCAAAATTATAAAGGCCTATACCATTGTGAGCATATGAGGCATAATAGGACCATTCTCCCACTCGCAGACGTAAAAGTCAGCGCCAGCTTTCGTGTATTCTCGATATTGACACTAAAAAGTTACCATCGGTTACAGAAAAACTTTTAAATGATTTAAAAATCAATAGAACAAACAATACAACAAATATAAAAAATGTGCTTACTTTCAAATTTTTCAGTACTGCGTTCAAAAAGGGTTGTCTGGCCAAAAGTGTAGGTGGAAAACCAGCCTGTGGCCCAGTCGCAACGCGTCCAAAATTGGATGTAGTCATCATATTATAAAGAGCCTTAAAATATCACAAATTAATATCACAAAAGTATGCTTAGTAGAATTTCACGTAAATGAATATTTCAGAATCACGTTAATGAATATTTCAGAATGCAGAACACAATCGAAGATACCGTAATGCTATCTAAATCGTTCAGCACAATTGCACTCTTCCTATTTTCATCCATGAAATCGGGATCCAACGATAACGAACGTTCGTAATCCAGAGAGTTGCTTGACATCACCGATTTACTGCAAGATAATTCCTCATACACTTAAAAATAATGATTAGACATGAATTTCTCAATATCGTCAACAAACATCGGTTTTTTTGAAAGCATACGATACATTTAATTTTGAAAAATCAACTTTTCAATTTGAATTAGAAAGCTCTCAATAAAAAGACTAAATATTATCTCTATATCAACTATTATTTCCAATTCCATTTACTTTCGCGCAATTTTCAGGGTTTTCCTTGGCGATATACCTATTCCTCTCAGCCATTCATCATTGTCTGTATCATTCGAGCTGTTCAAGTCATCCGAACTAAAATAAAGCTTGCAAAATATTTTAAAATAATCGAGATGAATGGAATATAAAAAGACAGTACGTAGGCTAATATCACGTGGATGCTGGGTGAGTTCCAACAAGCAATATTTCTCGTTTATTTAATCCCTCTGCTTTAAGAGATAAAGAAAATATCAGAAAACAACCAAATATGATAACAGGAATTTTAAGAAATCAAATAAACAATGCCTTATACTAACTTTTCGTTTTCCATGTCATTTTTTTCTTTTTCTCCTCCATCATCTTCAATTTGAGCATTCTTCGAATCACACATTACAACAAAATCATCATGCTTTCCAGAAAGTGAACCATCCAATGATATCCATGATTGTTCCTTCTTTTTATCAGAAATTAATAACGGTTGACTTTGGGTGGTATTGAACAAACTACTATCATTTAAAATTGAATGTCTGGATGATGAATTTCGTGAGCGACGTAATGGCATCGAATATTTTATACCTGAAATTACAATGTTTTACTGAATGGTAGATCGAAGTGGTTACTTTTTTAACATGGTTACTTCTGCGTAACTGTTAAGATTATAAAGAAACTTATAGTACTCATTGTAATAATGGGCAACACCTCAAGAACTTTACAACTTTCCAGCATGATTTTCAACCATCAAAATAGGTGAAAAATATCATTACATAAGCGTTATATATGAATAGAAGTTCAGAAGTATCACCGTCTTCTCGTAATTGTTGACGAAATCCATATGACGTGGGTGTTATAACAACCCGAAAATTATATCTTTCACCGCTTTTGCTTGAATTTTCATTTATTTCAGTGATGCCTTTCGAAGTTTTCCAAAACAGTATTGTATATGTCGGACAACAGGCGTAGAAGCACTGCCGCTTTCCGAATCGCCATGAATGGTAGAGTTGTTCAAGTGATAAAAACCTGTTGAATTATAAAATTAAAGCAATTAAAATTTTCACTGCATTAATACTGCATTTTATATTAAAAGAATAGCAAAAACTAATAGTTTTAAAAATTTTCGCTAATATCTAGCTTCACTGTACCATTGCATCGTTAATGCTTGAACTAGTGAATCACCAAGTGTATGTAAACTTGGCACAGCAGAATTTCGCACAGCCATCAATCGAGAGTCACTATCCAGACGTGGAAATGACGGCTGCCATGCTAAATCTGGAAATTGCCAATAAAGAGTACAGGCCAGAAATTTAGACAAATTGCTGAACGATCTTCCAGTTGTTTCCAAAGCCATCTGAAATGTCGCATTGTATTAAACGTTATTTTATTTCGCATTGTATTAAACGTTATTTTATTCCAACAAAACTAATTGTGTGTAATTGATGGACCACCATCCCCTGATCTGATACAGGCCAAAAGAAGATCAAACAATTCGTCTATTAATGCATTTAAAACTGCTTAAAAAGTAGGCATCGTAGAACCCACAGCTATCTATAATGCTAAAACTCAAAGTAACCAAATATAATATTTGAACTTGTTGCGATCAAGCTGATAAATGCGGCTGATAGTTTAAAGCTATTTACATCTTACCTCATCAGTTCCAGTCTGTAGCGAACAAAATATCTTGATTGCATCGTCATAAGCTGCTGAAATATGAAACAAAATCAATAAGATCGAAAGATATATTAAAACCAGAAAAGTAACGAATTATTTCCCAAATCCTTCTTGCCTTACTACAAATCTAAAAATTATCCTCCCTTGAACCTAAAAAATTGCTGAAAACATTTAAAGAAATGTCTAACATGCGGAACTTCAGAATCAAATGTTCAGCAACCAATTAATCACCACAAAATTAAATAATTATCAGCTTCACAAATAATTATCTTCCCATCTTTAAGGAATAGTGTATTACTTAAGCTTATAACTGGATCTTCACATTTTTAGGGAACATTTATATTTGTAACTGGATCCTTTAAAAACTTTTACCGATCCCTTTTGATTTTTCCAACCAGAAGAAGCGGTTCGGCGATTCTAAACGTAATTTAAGACCAAGTCGAAGATCAACTGGAAGTGATTCAACTTCTGTTTTCGATTCTTCTATCCTTAAGGCTTTCTTTTTTGGAGTTGAACAACTGAATTCATTAATACTTGAGAAATCAACTGGAAGTGATCCCACAGTAGAAGAAGTGGTAGTGTTCACGGAGATATTGTTGTTTTTCTGCAATGTACATGAATATTGATGTTTCACATTGATAACACCATCATTTCTTGGACGTCGGAAATTCAGTGATAACGCAAAATATCTAAAAATATATAAATGGACCTTGGAATGATTGCCTTTTATAAAATGCAAGTTTCAAAATCAGTTTCTGGAAAACAAATTTTTGGAAAGAAAAAACGCTGAAAACAGTTTTAATCATCAAAAAAAATAAAGTGGTTAGAAAGAAGGTTACACCAGGTTTTGCTTATCACAGTGTTAATTCTAAGTAAAAAAAATGCGACAAGAATTCATTACAAAACATACAGCTTCTGTTTTTTTAGGGATGCAAGTTTTTTCCATTCTGTCAAAAACGCTCGACGGAAACTCCTGCAAGGCATTGCTATCCGCAATAAGATCAGCAACTGTCGATGAAATATCACCGTCATCACTAATTTTCTTCGGGGTAAGATTTCGGTTCAATGACCTTTTGCAGGATGCTCGCTGTAAACTACATGCTATGCGATTGGGTGATAGATATTATGAAAAGAAAATGAAACAATAAACTACATATTAAGCGTAAGCTAACACGTTAAAGACTACATTTCTTTATCAATAAGTTGATAAAAGAAATATACAACGATATTAGTTCTAATATCGTTGTAGTTCAAACGATATTAGTTCTAATATCGTTGTAGTTCAAACGATATTAGTTCTAATATCGTTGTAGTTCTAATGACTTTCTGAATTCAAATTTGCTCCAAAGATGTTTGTTAACAAAGTTTCTATTAGAAAATAAAATTGGTAGGTAAGCAGAAAATAAGCATATAAAATAAATGATGAAAAAGGCAATAAGTGGAAAATACTCGAAATGGATTTATTATAATCGAATCAGCTCCTCGCGACATATTTGCCGAAAGCATCGAAAATCCTTCATCTGCCTCACCATCATTAAATAATTGTTTTAAGGATGACGATGACGATGAAGAAGATGAGGCTGATAACCCTCGTCTGAAATTAATAAAATTTGTTTACCGATATTTAAATTTTTTATAAGATTGGGATTAGCAGAAAAAGATATGAATTTTCTATAAGATTGGGATTAGCAGAAAAAGATATGAATTTTCTATAATTAAACTTGAAATACTTAGCAAATACAAGACATCTAAAATTTACACTTTTTCGCGAAAATGGTACCTGTTCTTGCGGATTCCTTTCTTAATAATATCACGAGGATTTTTCCACGCTGGACTCCTAATCAAATGTTTGTTAGGGTCATTCATTGTTAAGCTACGCCATCAAAAATTTTATTTACCATTTCTGAAATGATTCATCATAAAGTGTTGGATGCTGAAATTGCCACTTTTTCGCATTTCTTTGAAGTTGACGAAGAAATAACGTATACTTAATATCTTCATATTAATTATAAGATTCTCGAATTATACGGCATGAATGAATTAGCCGTAATTTCGTGAAAAGAATAAGTGAAGTGAAAAATTGAAAGCTTCTCGGGAGAGAGAAAAAAAATATGCTGATTAAGAGCTTGAAATGAAAAAAAAATATTGGTCCAGTTATTGAGATCAAGAAGTCTAACGATAGCTGTAAAAGTTACTAAAAGGGTGGTAATATAAGAATTAAGACAAGATGATGTGAGAGAAGGCGCTGTTACCGCAGTAAAACAACGTGAGAAGAAATAGAACATGATATTATAGTTATTAAAAGGTTGGTTTTGACATATTTATATACTGATGCTAAATAAAGAAATTGAGAAATGTATAATTCATTTAGAATTAAAAATGACAAGAATTGAAACTTTCAGAAGAAGCAATTAAACTCTTCAAACAAAACAGCATAATTTCAATCCAAAGAAACATAGGTATTCAAACTACGTCGTATTAAAATTTTTTAAAAGAAACCACCAATTTGAGTTCATCTGTTACACGGTGGCTAATAAGTAACTATCATTTTTTCTTGCAAAAAAATCTTCAAAATTATGTTGGAGAAATGACTTATTCAACGATCGTGAAATAACTTATTTAATGATTTAATGTAACCTAATGTATATATATATATAATATATAATAATTTCATTATTCTTTCAAATGCTACTGGAATTATTCGAATTTTGAATTGTTCAATTATTTCTTTTTTCCAAAACTTCATAAAGATGAATGAATGAGTAATTTGTATGAAAAGATGGAAAGAATTTCTGCCTCTACACTTGTTAAATTCCATACCATATAATTCACTCATTTATTTAAATTTTATACCATACAATTCACTCATTTAATTAAATTTTACATTATATATATATGTCACTTTTTTAAGCCAGAAAACATAACTTTTTAATTTATTTTGTTCTTCTTGACTTTTAATTATTTCGTTTTTATGTGATTAATTTTCCTATATATACAATTGTTTTTCTTTCAGGTTCATTATCATAATCAATTATCATAAGCATATTTGCTAGTATTTATGATTTCCATGGAATCATTTGCCAAAGCGATGGTGATAATAGTAGTATCAAATATTTTTCATAATATTATAATAGTGCAATACTGTCACTGCATAGTGGATAAAACAGACATAGACAAAAGAATTTGCGATAGAAGTTAGGATGTGAAAATGCGGCTGTGATATGGTAAACATTTGATCTTTTTTGTTGAAAAAATTGCTCATTTCAAAAATTAACTAAAAATAAACTTCAAAAATGAAAGAAACAAGTGATAAGGTATTTGTTGTCCACTATTGATTTTTCATAAATTCATTAAGTTAAGCGTTTTTTTTGAGAATTGAAAAGAAATATATTACTTTTTTCCTCATTTCCTAAATATTATGAATTTCAATGATTTTAAATTGTTTTAATGTGTGAAATTTAAAAAAAAATGGTATTTATTATTTGGATTATCTTAATTCGACTAATTTATAAGAAATCTGAAGTTTCCTGAATCAAATAGAGACTAAATTAGTAAACCTTTGAACTTCGAACTTTTTTCAACTAACTTCTGAATACTTCTATTCATTATCAATGAGAGTTATTCTGAGTATGATAGCTTATCGTAATCATTTATTTGGACCGAGTAATAGGAATGTTCAATGAATTAATTTGCATAAATGATAAATTACGAAAAAATATTGAGATAACTATGGATTATAATTGTAACAGAGATTGAGAGGGAGTAAATGATATCAGGGATATTAAACATCCATGAAGATCAAAATAGGAATGATAAATACTATTTTTAGAAATTGTAATAAAATATAAAGAACAGTATATAGTAGCCTAGCAGAGATTATTAAACAGGCAGTAAAGATCGATAAGAACTATGGGAAATGGCTATAATAAAGACTGCAAAAACTGAGAGCAAAAAAATGCTATTAATAGGAATGGCGGAATACAGTAGTACTGCGGAACAGTTATGGAAAATAATTGTGGTAGAAATTCGGAAAACAGATATGATCATCGAAATGTGTCAGAGGAGATCGATGAAAATAACGACAAGTAGTGTTGTCACATGTTAAGAAAGGTTTAGGAGAGAAAGAGACTGTGTGGAGAGTATTTTGTCAAAGAGTGAGAGTAATGAAATATCATTACTGAGGAAGAAACGCTAAAGACTGATTTAAAAAATGGGGGAAAACTTTCCAATTAGATTGCAATATGTTGTTGGAAAAAGAATTTGAAACTTTTGGGAACATATACGAGTTGCGATTATCGTACTTTTTTATTGATTTTTAGATGAATGTTTCGAATTTGTAAGATTTTGGTAGAGACTGGATGAGACAGAACATTTTGGGAAATTAACCTTAAGATATATGCAATTATTATCGTTTCATTGGAATGACTAAATTTTAATCAAATATTCGAATTTAATAAATTTTAGCGAATCTACATCGATTTAATTGTGTAGAATGTGAGAAATAAACGTTTGGTGTCTTCAGATTGATGAATAAATTATATGCTGTAAAATGCAATCGAATTTTATACGTATCTTTAAAAGTATCATTATTCGAAGGCTTAAATGATCTGAGAGATGTTTGTTCAGTACTTACGCATTTTCAACTTATCTGAAAAATTATTTTATTAAATACATTTATAAGAATTGATTATGTATTTACGATGTAGTGATTATTCACTTAGGCGGAAATACAAATCATCATCGGTTAGCCCGAAATGTTAGTGGATGATTTAGGTTTACTTTTAAGCTATGAAAGATCGAATTTGGAGGTTAATTAAGATAAAATTTCTATTCACTTAATAACTTATTTATGCTCAACATCTTCGAAAGGTTTTTTTTGATGGAAATAATATTTGAGGAAATCTTTTACGATTTAAATAATTTTTGCGAGCATATATTTTATGAGTAATGAAATTTCAGAATTAGAATGACAAGCGGATGTTTGGTTAAAAACTTGAAGGCTGTGACAAACTTGCCACCACTTCCGATAATTACATGGGATCGTGCAGAACGTATTCGACGAAATAAAGAGATTTGGGACAATAAAAATTCTATTGTACATCGGTTGCCTTATCATTATAAAAGAAGATACTGGGAGGTATGATTTAGAGTGTGCTATCGTGGAAAATTCGTCAAAGTTTCCTTGAAATGAAGACAGAAAAAGAGAATGCATTAGTAGGGCAAATTGATTTGATCTTGATATTTGAGCGAAATTTTGAAAAGTAATAGCTGAAATCCGCAGATTTTTTGAATAAAACGAATAATATAGAAGAAAATGCATAAGCAGAAGAAATACGTAATATGCACACATATTAGCTGTTTTTTGTGCTCTTTCAAGTGATATATTATGCAATGAAATATTTATGGTTACTAGACCAAATGCATAATTTTTATTGTTTACAGTTTATACTTGGCGAAGCAAAACCTGTGCATTATCGAAAACCGACGTCCAGATACGAATGGGATGCTAAGCGTCGTATGATGGTAGAAACTGAGGTTAATTATAATTATTATAAAGCATCTATTAATTACAAATTATAAGAACTTCGCATGTGTTTGTCATTTTATCCTAATTTACGTAGTTTGAATTAATCTTCCAGTGATACGTCTTCAGTGGAGTCAGAAGAGTAAGGTAAGGAAAAGCGGATGGTTTTAAACTCTTTCTAAGCTGGTTATTTCTTTTTGAAAAAAAGAGTTTAAAAAATTTAATGATACCAGTATTTTTATTAGCCGTTTTGTTAAATTCAAGATACGATTTTACAGAATTATCCTATAATTGGTTTTCATCCACCAGAAGCTGATAATGGATTATGGGGAGGCGAAACGGTAGTGAAAGGTTACATAGAGTCGCGTCCTTATACGAGAAAAAAGGTAACATCAATTCATTAGAAGTTTGAAATAATTTTGCATAAATTCATTCTATTGCTGAAATAATAAATTTATATTTCAGATTTTACCAAGGCATTGGGTGCCACATTTTTTCTTTCCACATTTGAAATATGTAGTCACATATTCCGAAGTTTTGGACAAACATATGAAGATTATGATGACGGAGCGTGCGTGCCGCCTGATCGAGCAACATTTTGGGCTTGATTTATATTTGTTGGAAACGCCTGAAATTGATATCGCTTCAAAGTATGGTTTTTTATGTTTGAAAATCACAAATGTCAATAATTCTGCATTTGGCACTTTTGAATCAGTAATTGTTGCAGCTAAGTAAGCAGCTGTTTGTAATTCTAGATGGCTTATCCACTTTTTAACACTTGTAAGTTCAATGCTTAAAATTCTTGAAATTCAGTGCTTAAAATCTTAAAATTCTTAAAATTTAAAATGAACTTTTAATTTAATCTTAGTTGATTATAAAAACGATGTTTTCTAGACTTGGCAATAAATTAAAGCGTGAAATTCTGCTTATTTTGGCAAAAGGCACTTATTATCCAAATAATCCAGAACGGCACAATTATATAAAGCGTAAATATGCGAAGTTTGTGGTACCATTAGAAGAAGCCGATTGGATTGGTTTAGATTTAAACGAAGCATGCAGGTTTGATATATGCCATTAATTGCAATTTGGAATTGAAAGCGGATGTCCTAGCGCAATTCCTGTTTATCATTTTCTGATGCTCGTTCTGGAAAAAATGGACTTGTTAGAATGCGGAAGAAAACTTTTAATGATTTTAAGTACGCATGCAGTGATATCATTTTCAGAAAGCAGCAAGAAATTGAAGAAAGTATAAAAGCAATCCCGGAAAAGTATAAATTTGAGCTTGATCTAGTCAAACGATTGGCAAGTGGTGAAGAGAATCCAGATCACGATAAAATAATCAAGGAGTTGGAATCAGAATCAGTTAGCGGTCAAAAAGCAAGGAAGTTGATGCATGCGGCAACACAGCGATTGAAAAAACTGATGAATTAGATTTATAATGTAATTTGATTATATTTATATATATGTGCTTGTGTCATATGACCTTCATGATGATATATTTATGTAAATAATTTTATGCAATAATAGTAAGTTCAGATGTGGTTTTTTTCCAAATCTAGCTCATTTCATCCTGTGATGCTAAAAAAAGCTATGGAATCGTTTAAGTAATTGGGAATTATTCAAAAGTATGTCGTCAGATTTTGTAAAAATTTATTTTTCATACAGTATTTATGTTTTTATTGTGTAATGATGTAACATTTTTTATCAGTGCTGCACATTTCTTGCAAGCAGAACCTGATGCATAGCAATATTCTGAGTTGATGAGAAACCAAGAACTTAAGAAGGCGAATAAATAATTCCAGACATGTATCATTGAACATGTCATTGTTTTTTATGTTTTGAATGTTAACCGTAAATAAGCGATTTCGCTTGTCTTTTTGGCCTTTTTTCACGATATCTTTCATTATCACTTGTTTTTTACTATCGATAATACTGGAATTTTACGAATTTTAGACGGTGGAAAAGGGTGACGAAGCTAACAGACCAATTAACAACAATTAATTTTAATCGCCATTGAAATCACTTCGTAAATTGGGTGTCCAATGCTTTCTTAATGAAGTTTTTAATTATATCCGTAGGTGTTTTGAATGGTTGATTCAGAAAGGTTTGTGTTGGAAGGCAAATCCGAAACAGTTACTGGAATAAGAGAACTGCAATCAAATGAAAATGCTGTGGTACAGAAGATAGAGAATGGTGATATGAATGTGAATCAAGTTTTGGATGGAGCAGATATCACTTATATGAAGAATTGTCTATCTAAGAAACAAATGAGAAAGTTAGTTGGGGTTTGTGAAAAATTTTAAATGCTTTGTTATTGGAATGATTTTTCATTTCAACCAGTAAGTAAAGGATGCAATGGAATTTAGAATCCGTTACTTATTTTAATCTGTTTTCTTCTGTTGCATATAGGATAATTATTGCATCCAATTGTTCATAATTTGATAAATGGTATATTTTTGATTTTTTTTAGATTGAGAAAAGAGCAGGAGAAATTGTCGCGCAGGAAAGACAAGCGAGCTAAAGAAAGGATGAGGAAAAAAATGAAGCGTGCTGCGCAGCGTGAAGCTGGTTACGTAAAACCGAAACTGACACATATCCGGTAACTGCTATTTGTTGAGTCGCATCTCATATTTTTGTAGTAATATCTAGAAATATGCATTTCACTTCATCTACTATTGCTAGTCTATTTTTAGTTTCCAAGGTCAGCGGTTTACGCAATAATTATTTTAATATCATTACTAGTTGCAGTCGAATGGAAGATTCAAGATGTAATCAAAGAGTTGCTATTGACATGCAGTTTGAATCTTTAATGCAGCCAAAAGACATTCGTCATCTTTTTGTTCAATTGGCTCATGCATATGCTGTAAATCGTCGAGCTGAAAATCCTTTGCAGTTCAGTGTTGTCGGCTTTTCTGGTCCTCAAAACAAGGTCTTTTATTTTTTTTTTATTGTTAGATATCAAGAATATCGAACTTTAATTTAGCATTCTGTGTAGATATTATGCGAAATTTCAAAATTAGTTAGTTTTGTTGATTTAAAATGAAAATTTTGTTTTCAGCTCTTTTTTGGCAACCCAAATAATCATCATTGGGATGTGGTATTTGAAGAACAACCTCTGGATACGGTATTTGAAAAAAATGAGGTTGTCTACCTGACAGCGGATTCGGAAAATTCGTTGCAAACACTCGATAGTTCAAAAGTGTAAGTTTATAATCTATTTCCATGTTGAATTATCCATCAAGGAACCAATATTTTAAATTCCCACGATTTTAATCATCCTTTTTACTGTTTTGAATATTATGAAGTTCAAGAATAGTCTTCACATAATTGAGTTCTTTCCTGATTTTTCTGTGTATTAGAGTTTAATATACAAAAAGTTAAAAAGAAAGAAACAAAAGCTATGTTTTGGCATCATAAGAAAGTTTTCGATATCAGTTTAATTTCGTATCTCATTTCATCGACAAAACCTCGACAAAACTTGACGTGTTCTGTTTTCTTTTCAATTTTGCAATGTTACTCACATAAATGGGAAAATATTTAGATATGTTATTGGTGGTTTGCTAGATCATAATTCCCTCAAAGGACACTGCTTAAAATTAGCAACAGAAAAAGGTTATGCACATGCTCGGTTACCTATTGCTGAATATGTTATGTTACAAACTAGAAAGGTAATGAAATTTCATTGCTTATTGTCTCACCATCATATCGTTGACGATTTTTTAGTCATATTTCTGTTGGAAGGACATGATTTTATGATTTCATCTGGTAATAACAGTATGTAGAAGGGAGAAGTAGCGCTTGAATGTTGCTGAAGAATGGCAGCCTTTGCGATAGAAAATCTATCGCAAAAAAAAAAGTTTTAAATTTTTTAAAATATTTAATATATATGGATATAGATTTTATTGTTGCTTATTTAAGGTGCTAACGATTAATCAAGTTTTTGAAATTTTATTGCGCTATACGGAAAGTGGGTCATGGAAGAAGTCATTTCTTGATGTGATTCCGAGAAGAAAGGGCGTTGTTGATATTAGTTCCAAAAATATGGAAGACAATGATAACATCGAGAAAGAGAGGAATATTATAGCTGGAAATAATGTCAGTAGTATGTAAACCGTCAAGATGTCAATAGTAATCTTATTGAAGACGATAATCATTTTGAAGTGATAGTAATGTAAACTTATATGAGTCAGATTAAATAGTGTTTAAGCTATGCGACATATTGTTGGATTTCATATTTTAATATGTGTCATTTTTTTATTAAGTTACATCAGATTGTTACTATTGGCAAATAAATTTACTGAATTTCATGGCTGATGCACACAACACATATTAATGAATGGAAACATTTCTTCCTTCATGTAAATTTGAATTGAAGTAAATTCAATTCCACGACTTAAGGTTTACAAGTTTTTGTTAAAATAATAGTGTATCTTGCGTGTCGATAATGATGGCTATTGTTATTTTTTAGATTCTTTGGTATTCTACTTTTTACAAAACATTATTGTGGATCATTTTACACTCTTTTAGGTGTAAAATGATCCACAATAATGTTTTATAAAAATTTGAATTTGAATTCTTATCAAAATGATTAATTAGATCGAAAAGTTTGAATTTGAATTCTTATCAAAATGATTAATTCCGTTAAATTTTCCAATTGGCCCCGAAGTCAACAATAATTTCGAGGCTCTTTGGGTTGACGATTTTAAAAGTATACTGCGAAGATTCGTCATGACATTACTTGATCCAAAAATGTTGTATGGATAAGAATTATTAATGAATTCATGTCATCTGTGGGATAGATAACGTTGAAACTTTATTTCAATTGCTTTTAGTAAGTTAGAGTCGATTCAACATAATACCGAAAAACCCTAATCACTCCTTTAGTTAGTGAGTTATTTTTGATATAATAGGCAGCTTATAACACTTCTTAGTAATAAACTTGTGTGACAACAAAATAAATAATTGCAAGTTTTCAACTTACTTATTGTGCCGTTTCTTAGTAAATTTAATTTTATCGAATGATTAAAATCAAGAAATCTTCGAATGCAACCTACGAAAAAACTACTTAATTGCTAATTTTCTTTTATTATTTTAACAAAGTTATTTTTCTTCTATAGTATGTTTTACTAGCAATTAAATAGCAAAACAAAAATGAAAAGTAATGATTAATCGATTACCTTGTCGATATCCGTGTTTCATAGAAAGATGTTATAACACAGAAGAAAATATAAATTGACTGAATTCATTATGAATAAATAGAACGATCATTTATATAAAACTTGTATTTTCTTATCAAAATGATTTAGTTCTTCATTAATTAAACTCTTGGAAGTATGTACTAATTATTACACTGTATGTATTGCATATGAAATCACGGCAGATGACAAATATTGAGAATTGCTAAATTGTAAACAAAAAGAAAATGAATCTACTGAAAAGAAGAATGGAGAAAGAAGGAAAAGTATGAAATTTCAACTTTTAGTAAGCATCTTTAAAGAAAAATGGAAAAACAACGGTACTCTTTCGTGCCTTTTTTTTCAGAGAAATGTTTCGTTTTTGTTTAGGAAAAACAAACAAACTAGTTATATTACAAATTCCGTCGACCGAAGTTTCACCATTCATCGATATTACAGAACTCACCAAAAACAATGGGTAGACCATCTAATTTTCAATTTTTTCCTTCTTTTTCTCTTTGACGTGATAAAATTTGTCTAGTCATCATTTTCTTAACGATTTCTCATCATTCAGATTTACTAATAATATGTTCTAATTAAATTAAAACCCGACAAAAAAAGTATAATGGATGCATAATAAAAGATATATCTTTATATAAATAAAAAAGATATACTGCTATCACGACAACTAATAAATTTCTTCAGGAATTATTTTTCCACATCACTACGATAATCAGAATTGTCATATTAATTAACACATCCCTAATCACATATTTAATTAATCGTATCATGGGACCGATGCTAACGTACATTAATAAAGCCATCCGCAAATAATTTCCGATTGTTATATCATCTATTTCATTCAATTGACCGATAGGTTACTGTATAAAAATTGATTTTTTACCATCAACCAGTTCCAATCGTTTCCAAATTTTGAAAAATGGGAAAATTTCGCGAAAATGAAGTTGAAATTCTTAAAAATCAACTGCAGCGCAGAAGAATAAGAGATGATTTCAGCTGAACGCTTGCATGGTTATCTGGTCTACCATTACATCAAATAATTGGTCATTAACATTTCACGAAATATTTCCTGCAGATGTGCATTATACATATCATAATAAACATATTCTTTCTCTCTCCTTGTACATATTGATGTAATCACTAAATTTTCACTCAGTAAACACATTAAGCTATAGCGCCATTTTGTACAAAAAATACTCTTCTTAAAATCAAAATTATGATAATCACAGAAAAAAACCAGATAAAAATTAACTGCCAGGAATAGCGATGTGATGTTAATTCTAAATCATTGCTGCTGACAGAGGTGATAGATCTTTCGTGTGATTGAGAAGGCAACTGCCTATGACGTAAAGCTTCAGACGTAACAGCAGAATTGTCCGCCACAATATCATTTCTCAGTGCCATATCATTCACAACGAACAAATTTTGATTACTCATTGCTTCTTTGTCTTCCTGAAAGAGAAAAAAATGGTTCGAATGTTATTCAATCACAATCAAATCAGTTCAGTTACAGTTCGATCCATCACAGTTAAAATAAATTACGAAATTATGAAAAGCACTGAAATCGCGGCATTCATTTGGATCATCCTGTGTAGCATATCTTCCAGTAACAGAAGCGTCCCACATAAGGCAATGAATTCAGTGCTCGAAAAATTCATAAAGTCTAATTCATACGTCAGTTAAGATACTGGTGATTACTTATACGATGCAATTTTTAATAGCATGAAAGAATATCACATATTGATTCAAGCTTTAATGCTGCCTAGTAATGTTTGCCTTAATGTTGCTAACTTTAATTGAAATCTGCGTAGTCAAACGCCGCGCTTCTATGGCATCCGCGTTGTTGTCACACACTGTTTCACTTGCTAATGCATTTCGCATACAAAGGCCACATTCTTTACAAACCCATTCATGGCTTCTGAAACTTGCAAAATACATTAATTTATGACAATACGCCGCTTTAATACAGCGTGTCCAATAAAAAGAGATAAGAAAAACAGTTCAAATAAATGTGAAAATTTCCTCTTCCTACTTCCATTTCCATTGTAAAATAAACAAAAACTAAACACACATTTTAGCGAGCTTCCGGCGTTCTTCTGGTGGGTACTCCAATGAGCCTAATGCACCAGCTGCATCTGTAGGCATGAAACCAATAAGAGCCAAAAGTGCGGTCCGAACTGAAATTTGGTTAAAAGAATTACAAACTACAAACTTAAAGTTTGCTATAAAAGGTGTCTAATACTTGGCTATTTCGCAAACAAATATTGAAATAGCTTACTAGACCATGATGGTTGCCATGATTCGGGATGATGACCTGAAATGCTAAGGCATATCTTCTGATTTAACTGGAAGCGACCATTCGGCTGCAAAGAAGTTTTTGTGAAAGTTCACTTGTGGTTTACACGGCAAAAAAAAGCTTGAACGTTTAAGCAAAAACAATAAATATCGCACATTTTTTTCTGACCACTTTTTCTCGCTGTTTTTTCTCGTTAATAAAGTCGTATTGTCGGAAACATTAGACAAAGTTAAGGAATGATGAATCTGACAAGTCGGAATAATAGATTTCAAAAAATCGAATAAAACATACCACAAACAATTCAGAAAATCAGAATTTACAAACTCACCGTAAGCAATATAACGCTTGGTGGTTTCATAGGATAATCCATTGGCAAAAGTATTCGTCCATGATAAATACCACCTTCGAAGTCCGTCTCGGCTGGCCCACGGACAGTAAAATGCCACTCAAACAAATTATCCTGAGATTAATTTCTTTAATTTTTGAATGATATTACAGAAAGTTCGAAAACGACAGTAATAGGAAATGATATCACGAATCACTTTCAGTTCATTATTAATGCAAATTTAGATCATAAATAGGTTGCACATCCATTAAATTACTTGATCTAATTAACCCATATGTGATTAGCTCGCTAACAGTACAATCACCTTAGCTCAAACTATATCGGAATGTTTTATCAAAAAACAGGAATTCAGCCTCTACAACGTTTAATTATACACTTACTTCGAGTGGCTGAGCATAGTACATATCCGTTGGATTGCGTAGTTCAGCAGCTTCTTTCATTAACCTTTTCACGCCTGCAAAAATGCACTTTTTAATTTAAATCTTAAATGAGAAACGATCGTTTAATAAATATCATAACATATCAAAATAAAATATCAAAACCTCAGAAACTACGAGGTTTATTTTCTACCGCAAATTGCTACTAAAGGACTGAAAATTATATTATTTTTCAGATATTCAACAAGAATGACTTTTAGAAAGAAATGAGGAATTATACATCTGCAAAAATCTTTTAAGAAAAAAAGGAAAAACTCCTACCAGTACTTTTCAGATTGTATTGCGATAGATTTGAGGTCATTGCAAGAGATTTAGCTCCCTGAAATGATTTCCTTCCAGTACTTTTATGTGACATAGAATGAGAAATAATGCAGATAATCGCTTCAAGAAATACGTGATTGTGCGTGTTAAAAAACTCAAGAAATACGTGTTTGTGTTAAAAAACTTTAAAAACGAAATGTTGTCACATACATGTTGCATGAAATTTCTATTAATCAATAATAATTATTCCTGTGAGTCAACAATACAAGTTTCATATAAAAAGGAAACTATAGAAAGTTAATATCGAGATTCAATATTCACATACATATGTAAATATTGAATCTCGATATTGTTAATTAATATTGATTGCTTATATATTAAATGTATTTAGCTAACTATGCGATACACAAATAACTCCAAAAATTTATATTTCGAACTGAATGCGTACATTCCAATTTAATTCAGTGCGTTGTTCATTTATGAAAAGACTAAAATTATTTTATACCAAATGATAAGTCATATAATATTAACACACGCTATCGATACCTTCTACATGACTAATGTTACGTAACTAATGCAGGATTTTCGTCTAAAAATATAGTATTTCCTACAATAAAAATATAGTATTTAATACTAAAAATATAATATTAAATATAGTATTTCCGGCAAATTATGTGTGCCGTAATTATAGGAAGCCTGATAACACTACGTATTAGAATTCCAATATCCACCAAACAGTTATCTAAAACTTCAATTAGCCGTAGAATACTGAACGGCCTTTTAAAATGGAAACCGGGATATGAAATCGATTTCCCCTCCGTTGCCGTTTTTTCCTTGCTTCCGTTTTTTTTCTTCTCTTCCGTGTTTTTCCTCTCTAAGGAATTAGGAGAGAAAGCCGGAAAAAATTAACGATTGGATTAAGTAAAAAAATATCAGAAGGTAACTTGGAGATTTTTGGGAGTTTAGTCAGGAATGATTAAATAGAAGTTTTTGTTGTATTATTTATTTCATTTTCTCTTTTTTTTGTTTGATCGATCAATTTTGAAGATAGAATACTTTGATATTTATGAATCATTTGAGAAATATAAGAGAAGAAAGAGAATGAGAAGTTTTAAAATAACGCATGCTAAACGGTTACCTTTCTCTAGCATATCAGAATTCACGATAGCTTAGCTTGTTAATTGTTTCATTAAAAAGCCTTTTAGCAGTTTGAAATTTTTCCTGAAGTTCCAGAATAACAAAAAGTCTTGCTTAACAAAAAGTCTCGCATTGTCTTATGTAAGTTGTAGGGCGGTTTGATATAAGACTCGAAAGCGTTTGATGTGAATTTTCGAGGTGGTTCATCACCTGGTTCATTTCACATAAAATTTAGAGGCATTTTGATAGAATTCAAGAGCATTGTTTAATGCAACAAGATTTTCTCTTATGAGATTAGAGAATATTTTTTCTTGTAAAATATTACACATCTATCAGAAATTTCAGAAACGTGGTGTATCATGATCGGTAAACGGATCATTGATATAACGTCACCGCTATGTATATCAGCAAAGTTTACATCAGAAAGACATTTTGCTTCCAAAATGTTCAAAGAGAAGTGTGCGAAAATACGACCCCTCAAAACGCCAACAATGATTGCTATGGCTAATTTCGATTTCTATTATGGACCGGTATATGGCAGCCAATGGCCATCGATACGTTTAGGATTGCTTACACCGAATAAATATTTCGCTGTGTTGAATAAATTTGCAAGGTTAAATAATTACAGATTTTCAAGCGACTGACAATTTTCAAAATTTATCCAAGTGAAAATCATAGCTTTGATCTCCACTTTCATTTTACTTGTTTTGCTTTTTGAGCGTTTCGTTTACATCAGTTTCACTCAATTTCTTTCCTTTTTTTATAGGAATCGAAAGGAAAATGAGGCATTATTAAAAGATCTTGGTGCATTTAATGTTTTGGAAAGAGCTCAACAACAAATTGCCGAGAAAGATAATGCTCATGTAGATTACGAGGAACCGATACCATCGTGCGATACGTCGGAAGGTGAAGATTCAGTAATTGCACAAAAGGTTGTTTGTTTATAATATTTCAGACTTATGTTGTTTGAAACTTTCAATTTCAGAATTTATAAATCATACAAACAAATTTTTGCTTGTTCCACTATGAAGCGTTTAATATTTATTGGGATCTTTGTAATAGAATGCTTTTTATTAGAGAAGTCAAATTTTCTTCTGAATAAAGGATGAAAGTGAATTGGATTCTGTATACATGCGCGGTGAAAGAGGACTGGGACATTTTCGACAGTCTAATGAAATTGCTTCATTAGAAGAACAGACGCGTTTCAAGGCTCAGTCATCGAAAGATGTGAATATAAGGAAAATTAAGTAAGATGTTTTTAATGACCACTGTTTTTTTCTCTTTGAATATTTATCATGTCGGTATTTTTTTACTCAGTGTTATGCTTCAGTATTTTACAACTAAATTTTGCATCTGTTCGTTTTATTATTTTGTTTTATACTTGAATATTAAGTTTATTACGTAGATATTTTTCATTAAATTCTCTACTCGAGTAATTTATCACTGAGTTCTGCATTTTAATTTATCAAAAATAACTCAATTGTTTCAGTATCACTGGTTTCGAAGGGCAGTATGTTGAGTTACCGACAAAAAATCACACATTGACATATCCGGCTGAACTGGCGATATACTCTTTTCCAAAAGGCAATTTGTCCGATTATCCACCTCCTCCAAAAGATGAAGTTGGAACTTCAGGTATATTTTATTCATTTTTGCGGGTTATTCTGCTAGCAATATATGTATGTATTTCTTGCATTTTTTTTGCTTATCCCCTCTATGTATGGGCAAGTATTTGTGGGTTATGCGGTTTGTAGTATCCTATATTGTTTCAGGTTGGTGGCTCCTTGATGGTGGCTCAGTTGCACCTGTGCTAGCTTTGGGTTTAACCAAGGAGTCAAATATCTTAGACATGTGTGCTGCGCCTGGTGGGAAAAGCCTTCTTATCGTGCAAACTGATTTGTTGGGTTAGTTATTTGCTTTATTCAGTTCACCTTATTTAGGTTAAAATTTTAAGTCTTTTCGAGAATGGCCTATCATATAGTCATCCTTATGTATACTGAAAATTTCTGTTCTGTAGCTTTCTGGACAATTCCATCAGCTTTTTTAAGCTTGTTTAATTAATTGTTTTTAATTAATTTAATTAATTTTTAATTTAATTAATTTTTAATTAATTAATAATTAATAATTAATTTAATTGTTTAATTAAAAAATGCACATTGTAAAAACAATGCACATTGTTTTTACAATGTGCATTTTTTTCGAGATTTCTGATAATTCTTTAGTGTTTTGAATTTACATGAACTTTTTTAAAGCAAAGTTGACATGCAACGATAATAAGCAAAGTCGCTTGGGCCAGCTGCATCGAGCGTTGGGACAATATATACCAGTAAATTCAGATGTTGCTGACCGAATAATATTGAAGAGGAAAGATGCATCGGTGTTGGATGGTTGGGATGAATGCAACATTTACGACAGGGTAGGTAACTGACGTATGTTTGTTGTTGCATTTTGCATTACATCGAAACTTATAAAGAGATAAATGAGATCAATTTTTTTTTCTTTTGTTTCATTGAAGATAATATTTTATAGGTCAAGACCATAAAGTATTATGATTATTTGATTTGGAAATGAAAATGAAAATGTATTATATTGTGTTAAGGTTCTGGTAGATGTACCATGCACTTCGGATCGTCTTTCGGCTAATAGAGATGATGGTAATCTATATTCCACTCAGTTGACTGAGCAACGTTTGAATTTGCCAGAAGTACAAACACGAATGCTTGTGTAAGTTTGATTTTGATAACCATCTCCAAAGCATCTTTGTTAATTACTTTTTTTATATTCAGTTCCCAATAATTTCTTCAAAGCCTCAACTGGTTCATTTTGGGTGTACCATTATAGATTTGTCGAAACATTGCAAAATATATTTTGAAAAGTTTTATGTATACTGGAAGAATGTTGCTGTTTGTGGATCTACAGCTTAATCATTAAATCAGACTCTGAAGTTTGCTGTTTAGAATTTCGTTTCTTTTAGCGGTGGCGCACATATGAATATTCAGTTGTACCGTTCTATCATTACAGCTCTGCATCGACAATCATGATGATATGATTCGGTTTTTTTTAATGAATCTTTTCAGCAATGCTTTACGTTCCGTTCGAGTAGGTGGTTGTATTGTCTATTCAACATGCGCCTTGTCTCCAGTACAAAATGATGGAGTTATTGAAAACGGTGTAGCAATAGCGGATGAACATTTCGGAATAAAAGTAAAATAGTTTACATGATCTCAAAAAATGTCATTTTATTTTTAATTTTGAACAACCAACAATGAAAGATTAGTGAAGTGAATTAAGGTGCATTACAGGCGGTGGAGTTGTCGTTATCACAAATGGTATCACATTTTAAAAGCATATATCGATTCAGTAATGAGCCTCGCAGAGGTCTTCTTATACTTCCTTTTTTACCTTCGAATTGCGGTCCAATGTATGTGTGTAAATTGCAGAGGATTCAATAGGTCACTTTTTTAGACAAAATTGGAAATAATTGAATAATCAAGGCTAGCACAAAATGCATACGTTTTGAAGAGGGTTGAATTTGTAGGGATACACAATGAGTCAGGCTAGCATGCATATCAAACTTGTTAATGGAATTAGTCTCCTATTTGCTTTGTTTCTCATTTGCAGGGATGTTGGAGAAGAATTACTAGTGACAAAACAAACATAAGGCCTTGAGGGTGAGCAGCGTAGACCTAATGACAATTTTTATTAAAAGTTGATTTGTCCATTTCTTCTCTCTAATACACTCCATAATTTGTTCTTGACGAAGTAATATGCAATCTTTGCAATCACGATTCTTCATTGTACTGTATTCCAGTTTATTAACAGGTGTCTTTTCCGGGATCGTTTCTATCTGTGTAATTTTCTTAATTGGATATCGAAACTTTTTAATTGTTTTCTACAACTTCTACTGTCGTGCGGTTTTTCATGTGTTTGGATTTTTATTATTTTGTTTACAGTACCATTACGACTTAATTTACAAAATGAGCACATATATACTGTAGGATCAAAATTTCTCCCATCAGTTATCAGTTTTGCAGCAATATCAGTAGTTTAAAATTTTAGCATATCAATATGCTAAGGCTATTATCAGGTATTGTTAATAGTACGAAATTTTGTGCAAATGGTAAAGATCATATTACATAACATGATAAAAGGAGATATGAGAAACTTGCAATTTTACAATGGCAGAGAATTTCCTTTTGCACTAGTTAAAAGGAATCCATCAGGTGTATCAACGAGAATAATTTGTCCGTACATCTTTAGACGAATGTTTATGTACACCCGTGTTTTGATGTGCAATCACAGTGTGCTGTGCTGTTATGCATGGTACGTTAATTATAGAGTTTTCATTATGAGAACAGGTAGAAAATGACAAAATTTTGATGTGATGATGTAAGTTTTCAGAATTTATTTCAAAGTTGATGTTCGAATATATCAAATAAAAAGGCTGAAAAGTAAAATTTTGCTCAGAATAATTTTCTTTAATTAATTTGCAAGAAAATTAAAATTTTTTTGAAATTCTCGAAGTCTTCCATTGAAATTGGATAATTTATTACCAATCACCGTATAAGTTATGATGGTTTTCTAAGTGTTCTTGGAAACAATCACTTATCTGATTGAAATTGCTCAAGCAGAAAAGATAATTGCCATAGTCTGTTGGTACTCCATTAGTCGTTTCGCAATAAACTTGACATGCCGGTAATACGCCTTTTCGGGTACAACAATTTGTATGATTTTGTCTTGATGAGGCACAATCCCACATTTGACCAACTGTTGGACCTCGTGATTGGCAAATTAACAGGAAATAGAGAACCTGAAAATGTCATTGACCTTATTGCCATAGATTTATCATCAATATTTTTGTTATGTATCTATTACTACATACCTTTCTCTTATTTTTTCGTATTTTGTAAATAATTGGAAATAATTTAATGAAGGTAATTTAAAGGTCGAAATAAAAAAGACCCAAAAATAATTTCTTTATCCTCATCTGTCTTGGATTTTCCCTATTTTCATCAAAAGAGTTCTTATTTTCATTATTTTGAATAATAGAAAGTAATAAATTTCTTTCCTGATCTCTTGTATTTTTCCCGCTTTCTCTATCTTTTATAAATTTTATAATTGTAGCAAACTGGTTGAAATATATATTTGAAATATGTAAATTTTTATCAGGAAATAGAAACCGTTCGAGGTTCTAATGCATCGAAACTACAAAAACGTTCCTTGCATTCTGAATCTGCTTCATTTAGCCTGGAACAGCATTTTTTTAAGCGTTGTTCAGCGTTTAATAATGGTGAATTAGTTGATTGAAAGGTATTCCAGAATGGGAATAGTTGATCAGATTTTCTTTGTCGAACGACGTTTACATTCGAAGGTTTCTGCTGTTGATAAAACTGTTGATTAGTGATATTTCCTGAACGTTGTTGTTGTTCTTGTCGTTGTTGAGTGTTATTATATACCAATAAATTATGCATTTGAGTATTTAATTTATTAGTTTGTTGCTCATTCATAATCGGATGACGACGTATTGGGTGAATGTTTATTTGCGTATTATTATTATATTGATTATTTGATTCTTCCAAAGGTATCGGTCGTGCAGAAGGATGAATATTGATAAAATTAGTCATATTCTGCAATTGTTGTTGTGCAATTAAGTGTGACCAATATGTACAAATAATTACAGTCACCAATGAATGCATTTTAATCCTGAAAATGAAAATAATTAACAAATTAAAAATTCAACTTTGAAATGATAACTTCGCTCCTACTATGGATTCAAGTTTTAAATTTTAAAATAAGTTAAAATGTTTTAAGAAAAAAGTAATATAAAAGTTATATGATGAACTATATTACTATTAAAAGATTTAGTAATAACGAAAATGTGGTTAAAATATATATTTCAAAATTTATTTATTTTTAACAAATTTAATAAAATTTCATTAATTCATCGATTTTTGCCTTTATCATTATTTTTCACTTTTATAATGATTACAATATGGATATAAATCCTTCTTTACAAGAAATGTACTTCTAATTATATCTTACAATTAAATGTGTAGAACAATAATGGAAATAACTTTTGATAATTTGATATGATAAGATAAATTTTAAATTTGATACTAATTTAAATATTGATCTTTTTAAAGAAGGAAAAATTAATTTTTGGAAAAAAAAATTAATTATTATCCTAAATAATGAAAAGAGCAAACAAAATGACGAATGTTATTGTTATGATATGATATGATATGATAAATGAATGGCGAATGAATTCGGTTAGTTTACTTGAAATGGAAAGGAAATTCGGTCATTTAATAAAATATTTTATGGATAGACAATGTCATCAATAGACGGAAGAATCGGAAGATTGACAGAAGATTATTATTTGTAATGTAAGTTAGGGAATTATTTAATTGCATTTTTGCCGTCTCAGGAAATCGGTTTATGAAGATGAACATTTACTAAATATTATTTGTTTTCGTCATATGAAATCAGTTATGTATGAAATGAGTGATATTTCAAATAACGAAACTATAATCTGTTTTTTTTAAACATCAAATCATATCTAATCAAAGCAGTATGGATTAAAACAACATAATTTTATACTATAAATAATTATGTAACATAAAATATATTATAGTATAAAATCATTATACAAACGGTGTTATATAATATATTACATAAATGACCCTTATATAGCTATTTATTCAGTACATGATATTGGGGAATTGACAGGACTACGATGCATTTATGATATGTGTGTAATTGATAATTTAAACTATTGAAATGAACAAGATAATCTTATTATTTTATAAACATTCCTTACACAGTTATGTATATCCGATAGGTTACGTGATTATACGCAAATAAATTTTACTGAATAATCGAATAATTTGGAAGTTATCATCACTATTATTCGTATTATGCATCATATCAGTAATAAAGAAAACATGTTATGTTTGATTTTTTTACTATTATGTGTATTATTGTGATATAACATATTTACATAAAGTAGTATATACTTAGTATATACTTAAACGCTTATTTAATAATAATAATAATAATAATCATACTTAATAATAACAATAATTGTATTAATAATTATTACAGTGAAATATTAATTGTAATCCTTAATAACAATGATATAAAATAAAAATAAATGATGAAAAATGTTGCATAAAATAAAATCTGAATATGTGAGAAATGGAATACTTAAAAAGCTTGTAATGTTATCCATACGATATAATCAATTATGTTCGAGAAAATAAATTGATTCAACAAATATTTCCTGTTAATAATAATAATAATAATAAAATAATAAAAATGATAATAATAAATAGTAATAATAATAATAATAATAATAATAATAATAATAATAATAATAATAATAATAATAATAATGATAATAATAATAATATCGATTATAATCGAGAAAATAAATTTTATTGATTCAATCAATATTTTCTATAAACAGAAAATACTACTCTATCATTTCTCTTTCACTTCAATGATTTTTATTTGTTAACGAAAATTCATTTGATGTTGTGATTGATAATATTTAAAATGAAACAAAGGGAACTAACTGCATTAATCTCATATACAAATACTTCTTTGTTTTCTATTCTTTTCACATAGTTTGTCATTATTGCTATTGTTTATTATTATTATTATTATTTATTATGATTGTTATTGTTTATTATTACTATATCTTTCATCGTATTTTAATTGTAAACATTCATTCCTCAAATATTCCCCTTTAAGTAACGATATTTAGGTAAAAATTAATATATTATACAATTCAGTATTATTATTCATATCGTATTATTTATTTTTTGCTTATTATTTTCCTTCTCAAAATTTGACTATTTTTCATGTTAAATGAAAATTTCGAAAATTTCGGTAAACTTTTTTCGCTACAAATTTTTCATTAATTATATTTCTGTCAAATTGATGGAAAAAAGGAAATATTTAGGGAAAAACTATCTGTGGATCTACAGCTTAATCATTAAATCAGATTCTGAAGTTTGCTGTTTAGAATTTCGTTTCTTTTAGCGATGATTCACATATGGATGATATTCAGTTGTATCGTTCTATCATAACAGCTCTACATTCGACAATCATAATGATATAATACGGTTTTTTAACGATTCTGAAGTTTGCTGTTTTCATGTTAAATGAAAATTTCGATGATTGTATTATTTATTTTTGATTGAAAATGGTGTAGCAATAGCGGATGAACAAATATTTAGGGAAAATTTTGTTTTCAGATAAATATGAAAAATAGTTTTAATTGTACTTTTTCATTTTAAGAATTCACTTTTATTTTCTTCACACTTCGTTTCATTTTTCAAAATTCTCTTATGTATAATCCTTTTGACAGCCGCATTTTTCTTATATATAACCTTTTGATTAGCGATATTTTCTTATAAATAGCCACTTAATAGCGGAATTCTTTTATATCTAACCTTTTGGTAACGAAATTTACTTACAAATTTACTTTTGGTCCCAAAAATTTTGCGTGATTTGCATTTAGGAATAATACTATTTAATAATAGCTGTCATCTGATTATTTGATAATAAAGACTAAATTTAATTCTTTAATACTTTTTAACTCAAAGTGATTATCTTTCAAAATACATTATGTTTACAATATATCTATTGTATAATTAATAAAAAAGAATTAAAGCTAACTAAAATAAAGCAAATTTTAAAATTCGAAAGCAATTAAAGTGTAATATTCAAAAAAAAGAGAACACGAAAATCATATAATTAATTATTCACGGTATAACAAATATTATATAATTTATACAAAACAATTTATTACACATATTTATATGTGTGTAAAGTTTATTTAATGAAATATTTGCTAAACAACAAGCATTTTTCATTTTCAATCATTTATACATATATAATAACACTTCCGGATTGATTGCATAAGGAATAGAATATCAAATTATGCCGAAATTTTAATCGGATAAATTATCAATATATTATAGAATCTTACATATATAGTATTATTAATATAAACCCTTTGTGGGAAATCATCAATGTATTTATTGAAATTTACTTAATATTAGTGTGGGAAATCGCGGTTAAGTTTTTTTTCTCTGCAGAAATCTATTAAATTATCAAATAAGAAAAAATTGAAAAATTCACATTTCATTTATTAATTAATCATAAATTAAATTGATGCTATCTTCCTCCATAAATCGAAATTGCTTACATGTATATATATACATTAAACATTAAAAAAAAAACAATCATATCCGATATGAATCGATCGTCAAATATGAAAAAGCAATATTTTGCTATCATAATCTAGCATATTTATAATAGTAAAACTAAAATTAATGAAAACATTAAATTACTGATATAAATTTATTCTGAATTAAAAATTATCCGTAAAGAGCAAAAACAGGAAATAGGGAAAAGTTACAGAAGCTTGAATGGTAGTATATCTTCTCAACGAAAGAGTTCCATGTATCAACAATAGCAACAACATCTTGTATAAAATAAATTGTCGAATTCACCTTTTGAACAATGATCACATAAGTTAAATATAGCATCAACAGATGCATAATAACCTCTCTCTCTCTCTCTCTTTCTGTATGAAAATTCAAAATAAAAGATTTGAATAGTTGATTAATATTTTCTTGAAAATCTATACGAATAATTTTGGGAGAAAAGAAATATAAGCAAATAAAAACAAAAAGAAAAACCAATCGTATAGCGATTGTAATACATAAAATAATGATAATTGATAATGCTAAAATATAAAATAATGATAATTGATAATGATAACATAAGAAAAAAAAGTTAAATTTATCAAACAGATACGTTTCGTCAGTTTTTGTGAGATAAACTAATTCGGGAAAGCAAACGGATTGAAAAAAATTTGATGATCGTCGTAAACAGTACTTACTATTTTTGCAACAAAAAAAACTGTGATAAATAAATTTTTGTAAATTACAAATAAACTTAAAATGACCATCAGAAATACATACGGTAAAAACTATAAATTTAAAACTAAGCATTTCATATGCAGCACGTAGCATTTATAATAAATAAGATAAACAAATATTGCTGCATTCATATTCTCTTTAAATTATAATCAATTTTGCTATTATTATTATTATAATCATCATTGTTATTATTATTTTAATCGTTGCATGAATTATCACCATTATCATTGTTGTCGCTATTGCTGCAATTATTATTATTTGCTATAATGATCATTGTTGTATTATTATTATTATCATTGTAGTATCATTGTTATTATAATGTTATTATTATTATTATTAACTATTATTAATCGTTACCAATTGTTGTCAATTATTATTAAATAAATATTACTAATTAACACTAATCATTATGAAATAATAATTATTAATCATCAAATTAATTATCAACTAATAGTCATCATAATTAATTGTTATAAATTAGAAATTAACTAATTGACCATCATTATTAATCATTAACTATATTACTATCATTATTACTATCACTATTATTATTTTACTATTTTATTTTGTTATCATTTGATCATTTAATTATTATTTTATTTTATTATTACTATCTTATTTTACTATTATTATTTTACTGTGTTATTGCTATTTTACTTTATTATTTTGATATTATTATTGTGATTTTCATTTTTATGATTATTATTGCCATTATTATTATTACTACTGTCGCTATTATCATATTATTATTATAAGTATATTAATAAAAACAGCAGAAATGAAATTATTAAATAGGAATAAATCCAGTGAATAAATCCGAAAAGAATTTACTGGATTTCATTTACTTCTAATTTGAGGCCATTTTTCATCATCCTTTATTTTTCCGGACTTCAAAGTTAGATTAATCAATACCATAACACATTCTGAAGCTTAATATAAATATAAGTAACTCCCTTTTTAGGTATTATATTATATGAAATTAGTCTCATAAATATTAATTCGCATTTAACAAATTCTAATTATATGCTTAAATAATATGTATAAGTTATTACTTATACATAATATTTAATAGAATCGTGTATATATTGCTGTCAATCATGCATTTTGTTAGCTATTGTTATCATTTATTCTGAACATTTGTTGAACTCTAGACAAACCATCACCAACATGAACAACAGTAATATAAAGTTGATTAAACCATTTTATCTTGATAACTTCACGTTATCATTTTATAAATAATCATGATCATAACGGCAACAAATAATAATAAATGATAATAATAATAAGTAGCAATAATAAATAATAGTAATAATAAATAATAGTAATAATAAATAATAATAATAATAATAACAACTGATAATAGTAATTAATAATAATTATTATGACAGCAATTAATAACAATAATTAACATTAATAATTAATAATAATTATTATAATATTATTATAATAGCCATTATAATAATCAATAATAATTATCATTATGATTATAACATTAATTATTAACAATTATTATTTGTTATTTATCATTCATAATTTATTTATAATTATTTATTATTTTCTTTTATTAAATAATAATAATAGCAATAGTAATGATAATAATAATAAAATGAAATATTACCGTTGATATTATTAAAGCGATTAGAAAAATAATATCATTCAAGTGTAAGGCGTAAAAAATTCATCTAATTTATGGTAATTAAAGAAATTGGTTTGAGTGGGAAAGAAAGATAGGGAAAATGAAATGGATGAAAGTTATGAATTTGCAATTGATCGATTGAATCTGTTTGCAGCTAAAAATTAAAATAAACTTCAAGAAAGTACGACTAATTCTTATTTCCTCTTTTTTTTGTGCAAAAAGTTTTCATAAATCAAGAAAAAAATATATAAATTATAGTTTAGAGGATAAAATGAAGAATGGATTTTGAAAATTTCAACCATTTTTATTAACTTTCATTTTCTTTCATTTCCTTCTTCCTTTAAAAATATATTTCATATCAATTTTATTTCTTCCTAATCATTTTCCAATTATACTTTTAATTTTATTGAATAAACAAGAAATAAAAGGAAAGAAAGAAAGAAAGATAGATAGATGGGATAGAAATAGAAAGCGAAACGACGAGTTTTCTGTATTATCGTTTAATCCGTTGAAAAGACGAAAATTTGAAAAATTTATCAAAACAGAATCGTTATATGAAAGAACAAGCTCAACCAACAGTATACCGGATATTAATATGAATTCAATTCAATCAAATATTAATTTCTAATTCGATGTTCTTTTTCTTCCTTTTCCGTTATCACAATTATACAATAAAACGAATTGAAAATAAACATCAATTCAGTAAATACGTCAAGCTAAAATAAATTCTGTACAAAATATTTGATCAAAAATTAAATTGAAATTTAAGAAAAAATATACATAAAAAAAAGAAAGAACCCATTTTCTTTTTATCTCTTCATGTAAAAAATACATAGTCGTCCATAACATCCAATATAATATACCGGTTTGCAGGAATATTTTCCTTCATGAATAATCATATTAATTGACTGAATCATTGATTGATTGATTTATCAATTGACTTATTGAACTGATCGACTGGTATTAAATTATATATCATAGCATACGATATTTCAATAGATTCAGTCGATGAAATAATTTTATGAAAGAGGAGATAGAGAGAAAAAATAATAATAATAAAAAGGCATTAGATATTATTTGAAAAAGATTTTCATTTCAAATTTTTCCTTTCTTTTTTTCTCTCATCTCTATTATTAAAAATACTAGGCTAAAAGTCTGCAAATTCTTTTGAACATTTCTCGGTATTTGAAATCCGCAATGGTTCTTCTTCATAGTCGTCAAAATTGGATGCATCACCAGCACCGCGACATTTGGGTAAAAATGGCGCATCTATCTGAAAAAGAATTCGTACTTTTATCACACGTGAATGATGATGATGACCATGATGATCATTATGTATTCATCATAATATACAGAGCTTATTTAAAGTACGATTTAAATTTTACTTTTCTTTGGTAAACAGCAATCCAATCTGTTGAACTGAACCATTTGTGATTTTTGATATCGGCGACACCATTTTTCAAGTTACCGTATCTTTTCGTTAAATCGACTTGCAATAAATTCTTCAATAAATCTTTGAGTTCGTTCGAAAAATACGACGGAAATTTCACCTAAAGCGTACGTTTTTCCTTTTTTTAGAAAAGACTTATTTTTTTATTTAACAGAATAAATTATTTTATTCAAGGATCGCATACATTAATAAAAATACTCGACTAATAAATAACTAGTATCATCGAGTTTTTAATTAACACGCAAAACTATGAAGTTTAAGAAGTATATATATACATTATCCTTATTCGTTCCAAAAATTCAATGATATACCTATTTAAGGATAAACGAATGCAATACCTGTTGTTAAGTTAACCAATAATGCTAAGATTGACGTAGCTAAAATCCTAAATAATTAAGTAAATTGGTGGATGAAATGACTATTCTCATTCAATAAGTTTCATTTATCATTGAATGTCTCATCATTAATACAGGTTTTTAATGAAGATAATCGTTACTTTTCCAGAAACAATTTTTTCGTAAATCTGTATCGGCTGATCAGCAAAAAATGGAGGATAACCAGCAGCCATTTCATATATAAGTACACCTAATGCCCACCAATCGACCGCTTTATTGTAACCCTGAAGTTTATTAAATCATTTCCCAGAAATGGCTAAATATATATATATATATATTTGTCTATTATTTATTAAATCATTCATTTATTTGCTGTCTTTACAAATGAATTTTTGAAAATGATATTTCGAAAAACACTTTCAAATTTTTCTCCACAAAACATTAGCATAACTTTTACAATTGAAAATCGGAAAAAAACTGAAAATTCATGAATGAAAACATTACTTTGCTCAAGATGATTTCTGGTGCAAGATATTCTGGTGTTCCGCATAAAGTCCACGTTCGTCCTTTTACACGTTTTGCAAAACCAAAATCCGTAATCTACAAAAAATAAACAAGAAATTTGTATAATGCTATGAATAATTTGGCGCAAAACACATTAAAAAGGTAAATAAAACATAGCAATTTATTAGAACAGAAACTTCCACAATTACTATTTAAAATTTATTTTCCAAATGACAATTCTTTTTTTGATACTCATTAAAGTAATACTGTTAATACTTGACATTACTGAATGAATGTAATATTCTATTATATATGAATATCATTCAGTATTAACGTAAACTATAATGTTTGTATAGTTAAAATATGGAAATTTTCAAATTTTACTATTTTCATCATATTATAAAAGATTAATTCTTTCTGACAGTTCTATTTTTCTTAATAATAAAAAGTAAAATCAATTTTAAGGCCAAAGAAAAATAAGATAAATTAGCAACGAAATCCTAACAATTCCTTCTTAACACTTTACAATTTCGCTATTTATAAAACATTTAATGCAAAATATTCATTTCTACCGCATAAAAATCCATAGTGTTAGTTTACATAATATCAAACCTTGATATAGCCAGTATTATCAATAAGGAGATTCTCAGGCTTGAGATCTCGATAAACGAGGTCGAGGGAATGAAGATACTCGAATGCAAGAACAATTTGTGCTGCATAAAAACGAGAATGCGGTTCACTGAAACGACCTATTCGCCGTAAATGTGAAAACATTTCACCACCACCAATAAATTCGAGCACCATATACAAATTCGTATTATCCTAAAAAGAAGGAGAAAAATTATTAAATTATTAATCATTCATTTTCCTTCCCTTATCATTTATATTTTCATCAACAATTTTTCCATTCTTTCTTTTCTTTTTAAATTTTTATATAAAACAATTGCAAAGCATTATTATATGTTAATAAAGTATAGAATTGTATTAAAGAAAGTTATTATTATTATTCCTATTATATTTCATGAAAAACTTAATGAAAATATGCGATATCAATAAGAAATAATATTTATACCATCGATCATATATGATAGATTTAATGTATTTAAATATCACACTGCTATCAATAAGCTATTAATAGGATCATAGAGTCGTTCAATCTCTTTTATCATATAATTATTAGTATATCTCTTATTGATAGCATAATCATTTAGCAATTAAATATGGTGAAATATGAAACTTTTCAACATATCATTTCAATCATAATTTAAATCACAAAAAGAATTTCTATTTTCTTTTCCGGTTCTTTTAAATATAATTATTTATTTCTGAGAATTGAAAAAAAGCATACTTTGAAAGAATACTCCATATTTACTAGAAATGGGAAGTCAACTGCTTGAAGTATACGCTTTTCATTAAGCGTATGCTCAACCTGCTTCAATTTTACCACTTTTTGTTTATCCAAAATTTTCATCGCATAATACGACCCGTTCTGTTTATGTTTTACCAACATTACACGTCCGAATGATCCGGTACCAAGGGTTTTAATCCGATCAAAATCATTTAATTGCGCCGTATTCTAAAAAATATAAATAAATACATGTACATATATATAATTAACTTTTTGAATTAATATCATTATAAAATCAATTTTAACCAGGATTTATTTTTACGCAAAATTTTCGGCATTAAATATAAGTAATATGAAATATTTAAAAATGATAATAGTTTTCCAAATTTGAAAAATTAGTTAAACTCAAATTTTATCTTCCATTCGAAATCTGATTCAACATGTGTCATAAATATATTTTAATCTATTATAAAATATATGTATAAAATAATCAGATTTATTTATTTTTTATAAACAACTTTTAATTATTCAAAAATGAAAATGATACAGTATCATTATTTGTACAAAATATTCGAAATATATTTATGCTATTTGTTTTCATCCATTTTCCTTTCCCTTTCCCTTTCTTGACCTTTTTGTTTTTCTTTCTTTTCTTTATATTTAGAAATTCTTCGGGTCGAAAAACTAAAAACAATTTGAAATCCTTAAATAATTTTTTATGAAAGGAAGAATGTGAAAACCCAATTTTTATTACAAACTTTTTCGCTTAATATGAAATAATAGTATTGAGAAAAGGAAGCGAAACTTCCATAACATTTTTTAGGTTTTATTTAATTTTAAATTCGAAAATTAGCGATACTTTACTTTTATCGGAAACGATAGTGCGTGTGCATACATCCATCCATCAAAGGCTAACAAACACTAACAGTATACAAGCAAAAGCAGAGTGGAATCATTTTTTCAAGTTTTAATTTAATGCTTAATTAAAATCTTAAGAAATGATGATATTTTCATGAAATTTCAGCCAGAAGAAATAAAATCTGTTCAATCAATCGTATCACAAAATAAATAATTGAAAATTGGAATATATATTAGAAGAAATGTGATCAATTATTAAAAATTTCATTATCTTTCTCTAATTTTGCTAGAAAATTCCATGCATTTAATATTATGTAAGCTTAGAATTTTATGAAATTTTCGAGTTCGTTCCATTTCTCCTTTCGATTAAGAAGTAGAGGGGAGAAAAGAAATTATAGCTATATATAGCAGCAATTTAATTATGCCATAATGAATATTTTATTTTTTAATAATCGAAATTTTTCAACTTTCAACATTATAGGATAAACGAAATAAAACAATACCTGTGAAGGATTTTCCCATCGTTGTTTGAAGTCTTCCCGAGCTCGTTCCAAAAATTCTTTAACTGAAATTTTGAAAATGAAAATATTTTCCATATCAACTATTATTAATAACCCATCCACCAAATATTTGATATTTCTTCTTGTTTAAAAATTAAAAAGAAAATTACAAAAATAGGTAAAAAAAAATTAGGACACAGAATTATAAAAAAGTTTTTGAAATAAATTTTAATTATCAAACAATCACAACCAATCTATCTATTATAGTCAAAAAAATTAAAATTTATTCATTAAATTGTGAAGCATTTTGAATAAGAAAATTAATAATTATTTTTGCAGCTAATCAAATTTCAACACAAAGATTTTAATTAATTATATTCATTTATTTCATTCTCCCCATTCATTATGAATAATAAAATTATTAAATAATCTCATTTATTCATATATAATTGATAATGAAGTAATATAAAGAGATATATATATATATAGGATATAGGATTATTTTTAATTTCAAAATAGTTTTAAACAATTTATTATTACAGCTATTTTAGCTTCTTAAAAACAGCAATCAATCAAATGGTACCTTTGAAATGATAAAACCACTGTTTTGTACGTTCGAGGAGAAATAATGTAATTCAGAATTAAAATATATATATATTTTAATGTATTCTACTATACTAATAACATGAAATTCTCATTTGGTGCATAAATTACATTAAACTTTATGTACTGAAATTAAATTGTCATTATGACGAAAAAAAAAGTGAAATTCTCATATGTTAAACTACACCTAACTCACTAAGTAATTTACTTTTCTGAAATTGAATAATTAATTAATTAAATCATTCTAGAACAGAACTGTATAGCAGAAAGTTTATTACAATATTCTACTAAATAATATAAATAACATTCCATTTTCTTGCAAAAATTTGAAACAATAATGTTATATTATCCGTGGCTAAAATAGTATGAAATTAAAATAATGATAATCTTATTTTATCAAATTCTTTTCTTCTTTTAAAGGAAATGATATGAGCATTTAGTAACAAATTATCCTTAGTCATAAATCCCAGAAATATACCTAAAATAATACACTGTAAATAGAATAATAATTAATGATAGCCATAAAATATAGAGTATTTGAAATTCCAAATAATATATAAATTAAATCAAAATGCAAACACTTATTTTATATGCGATTATAACCAGATAATACTATATTTCTGGATATTCGCAAATTCTTTCGTAACTAATATGCAGCAGTTTAGCTAATAAAATAAAGCATTTCATTTATGAGAAATCTAATCAAAACTTCATATATTATTATGAAATTGCTTCAATTCCGGAAAACTTTCGATGAAGCAATTCTACTTTCTTATTCGTTCTTTTCCTTCAACCAAACATACCTATTTTAGGCTTAAAATAGAATAGCCTAACAGTTGTTGAAGTTGCCAGTATGTTTGAAGCAATGCAGAAAATAAAATGGGGGAAAAAAAATTGTCGACAGATATTTCTTGTCTCATTTCAAAAATGATCCTGTTATTTTGAAAATCAATTGAAATCTGACCCGTTAACAGTTAGATGAACATTATTCCACATTACGAATTACAATTTCCAGCCTTTCTTAAAGTTAATATGTCTATAATGTAACTTAAACCAATTTCATTAATAGTTATCAAGCGAAATTCTTTGAAATAAATTAAAATTTAGGAAAATGCTAATAGATGTAGAATAATAAGACACTCAATTATTTTGGAATTTGTCGTAAGAAAATTAGTTTACAATAACTATAATAAAAATTAAAATAGAGAAAAAGATAATTAAAAATTAACATGCATAATCAATAAATTATAAATTACATATATTCAAACAATGCAATCATTATATTACATAAATTTTATAATGATAAAAATTTCATACGAAATCATAAAAAGTCCAAAAAGAAATTTGATGGAAAAAAGAAAAGCAAAAATAGTAAGTATTTTGATATGACAACAATAATTTCTTCAACATGCATATGCAATATTATTTCATTAATGCTATATAAATTATACTATTAATTATCAAAATTATTAATTCCTTTTTAAATTCAATTAAAGATTAAAAAAAAAATTTCCATTAAATATATTAAATATTGACAGGAAAAATCCTAAATTCATCGAATATCTTTTATCTCATTTGAAATGGATGAAATTTACGAGAAAAAAGTTTCTCATTCTCTCACGTATAATTGAAATATTACCGGCCAATTTCAATTATTTGCAATTAAAAATTTAATTTCAAATGCAAAATAAATTATTCATTCAGCAAAACCGACAATTAAATAAACATATGCAAAAGAGAAAAAAGAAAAACTTACAATATTTTTGTCGTAATTTTTGATTGGTTGACATTGCGACGATTGTTTTTGATAAGGAAGTAAAATATTTTATAGCAGATAGGATGAATAGAAGAGAAAGAGAGAGAGAGAGAGAGAGAGAGGGAGTAAAAGGGAAGGAAAGAGAGGAAGAATAAATATAAGTAAGCAGTAATTTAAATAGTATGGTCAAATTTCATGTAATTATATACGATAATTGTCTCCTGTTTTGATATATTTTTTAAATTGAACGATATTATTATAGTAAATGGGCAGAGTAATAGAAGTCATCCTAAAAATGAGATATAAATTAAAATGATAACATTACGAGAAGAAGTGATAATACTTGATAAATAAAGATTAATTGATAAGATTAATGATAACATTAAGCAATCATTTCTCTCTTCTCTTCTCTTCGATCTTATCATGCAAATAAAAAACAAATTTCAAATGGACAAAAAATGTTTCAAACAAAATTAACATATTAAAAATTTATTTCCCATTGTTTTTGAAATTTTCTTACGAAAAAAAATGAACTTTTATGATAAGTGAAGATTCTGATTAATGATAAAATGATAAGAAAATGTTAGCATCTATGCTATGAATTAAAATTAAAAAACAAAACTTTTTAATTATTTAAAAAAAAAAAATGTTTGAATGATAAGCTTTTTACCAATAAATAATAACCGCTGCCACTAAAATTACTGCCTATATTGCATTTCAACTACATTCAAGCACTTTTACATGAATAAACCTCACTTTCTCTCCCTCCTCTCTCTCTCTCTCACTTTTTTTCTTTCTCTCACTTTCTTATACTCTATCAAATTTTCTAACTATTACATATTTGTTAGAATGAATAAAAAGAAAAAGAAACTTTCACTAGATTAAACTAATATGTAAACTTTTTTAAAGGAAGAAGAGAAAAAAAGAAAAAACGTTTTTTTTTCCAATTATACTATCATTTGATTGTTAATTAATAAAGAATGAAAAAATGCCTATTTTAGGCTAAATTTTTTGCCTTAAAAAAAAGATCTAATTTCTTCCTTTTTAAGCTTTTAAATAAAATTACTAAAATTTTCTTATAATTTTTAATGGAAAGAAAAAGGAAATCCTCTCTCTCTCTTTAAACATCTCTCTTTTTATCTCTCTCCCTCTCTCTCTCCTTACATATATAAATATATATTGTAAATTTTTTTTAATTGAAATTAGAAAAGAGAGATATATATTAGTTAGGCCTAAAGAGAAAAGGAATAAAATGGCAAAACTAAAATATTAGACGGAAGAGAGAGAGAGAGAGAGGGAGGGAGAAAGGGAGGAGATGAGAAGCATCGATATGAACTATTTATAGCTATTAGCCTTATCGACTAATCCTTTTTGCCTACAAAAATAAAGCAAGAAAAAAACAAAAACTAAAATTTTCACTCATTGAAAGTTTCATATAGGCATTTCACTCTTTTTCTCTTTCTTCCTTCCCATCAAACAATACTTCATATTTCTTACTTTTTACTTTTTTTCTTTTCTTCTCTTTTTTCTAAATAGACATTCAATAGTTAGTTAGTTGTATAAGCAAGCACATATCATCAATACATCTATAATATCAAAAAGGCCTTTTACATTTTCATTTCCTCATTTTATCTTTTTTTCTCACATATATATGATGTGTTAGAAGGAAAAAAAACCCTTTTACATCCCTTTTTCCTCTTCTTTCACCTTATCTTTTCTCTTTTTCTAAAAAAATTTTCTCTTCCTTATTTTACTTCATTTTTTCTTTTTCCCTTTTTCCTCTTCTTTTACCTTATCTTCTCATTGCCATTTTCTTACTTTTCTTTCTCATTTATCTATCAATTCTTGGTGGTAGCAATTAACAGTAGTAGTAGTAGTAGTAGTAGTAATAGGCAGCTATCTATAATGATAAAACAATATTTTAAAAAAGTTTTCTTCCTTTCTCAAAAAGGAAGAAAGAACCGACAAGCATTAAAAAGAAAATAATGATGAAAAAAGAAAAATTAAAATAGAAAATAAACTGAAAGAACAAAGCGAACAAAACAAAAGAATTGTTCATTGAAAGTTTTTTTTAATTACAATTAAAAATTTAATCAATATCTTTTATAATATGAATAAGTAATAATTTCTTTCTAAACAAAGCAAAGAGAGGAAATGAGAAAAGGAAAGTAATCAAATAATCATTTTCAAATTCTTTCTTTTCTTTCTTTCCCACTTCTTCCCAAAATATCTTTCTTTTAAGTAGATGAAAAATTATTTCAGCCAGATAAGATGTGATTTAATATTATTACTATTATCGATTAATGAATCAATAATTAAAATATGCATATTAATAAATGTAAATATTTCCAAAAATAGATAAATGATAATTGATTAACACAATTTGAACTATCATTAATTGTTGTTTTAAAAAATAATAACAAATAAATAATAGATGTATTAAAATTTCAAAACAAATTAAAATCGATAATTATAAACATGAAATATAAAATGATTCTTTTTCTGAAAAAATCATTGAAATATTTATTTGATATAATATTTATAATATTAACTATTATTCTTAAATAAATAAATAAATAAATAATAATATAAATATTAAAACAAATTAAGTTCTAATTTCTCTCTCTATCTCTCTATATATATAATCTATATCTATATCTCCCTATCTCTCTCTCTCTCTCTCTCTCTCTCTCTCTCTCTCTCTAGATATATAACCTAAATTTTCATTTCAATATAAAAATTAATTAAAATAATCCAACAAATATTTTAATTCATCGATTATTATTCATCTTTTCCCCAACAATAAACAGACCTTTCAAATGTCAATAAATACTTAGCATTTGATCATTGAACAACAATACCATAATATATAATGTAAATAAACAGAAATATGATTTGAAAAAGAAAGGAAAAAAAGCGTAATATCAGTTATCATATCAGTTGGCTGATTATTGAATTACACCATAGCACTGATATTACACTTCTTGTATCATTAATGAATTGCTCAAACAATAACAAAATATATAAATGTTTAATATTCTAGCCTTATTTAATTAACAAAATAACCGAAATTTTAATAAGCAAATTCTTTGAAAAGAAAAAGTTTTCCATTTTTAAACTTCGTGCAGCAAATAGCAACAATTGTATAATATAGTCATTACACAAAAATGTTTCAGCTTCTTTCTTGTTTTAAAAATTTTTTAAGCTTTTAAAAGAAAGATAAGAAGGATGATGGTAACGAAGAGAAAGAGAATAATATGTTGAAACAACTGATGAAAAGAAAATATCTCTAAAATGACAGAATAGAAAAAAAGAAAGCACGAACAAGAAAGTTTTCTCATATTGATGGTGAAATAGATGAAATGGATTGGATGCTATCCATTTCAAACCAATTCTATTTAAAATTTAGGCTACATAAGCTAGTTAAAACTAAAAGTTAGAAAAAAAGTATTCAATGGATATGATAGTTTTGGCAGGATGAAGGAAAGTAAAGAAATTTACGATTAATCTTGACCTTCAAAATATCCCACTCTAGAACTTCTTAAAAAGATTAGCGCGATAATTTTAAAATATATTAAAAACAATAAATGAGAGGAAAAAATTAACGTATGTAAAAGATAAGTTTCCGCATCAAAATAGTATGATGAGACAAAAGAGAAATTGTATGTTTATCTTAAAATGTTTTATTTATCAGCGGATGAATATAAATAAATTTTGGCAATAAATTGTATAACAGATTATGATAAATTATATTATTTCATAGCATTATTATCAAATAGTTTTAAATTACGTTTCTACTATGTGCTTTCATTCATCATTACCTAAATACTATATCACCTAGAAATATATGTATATGTAACGGTGCAAAATATAGCCTAGATTTATAGTGAACTGAGACTCTTTTTTTCTAAGAACTAGTCATTGATATTAATATTTGAAATTGATAGTTATCAATAAAACCGATACAGTAAATTTTCATCATCAAGATTATGCAGTAATTTATAAATAATGATAATGCATTATATGAAATTGAAATTCAAGCTTCACTCTGCGTAAACTAAAAATCAATATCAATTTCTTGAAAATTCAAAATTCCCAAGATTCATTCAAATTCATCTTTCTACTATGAATCTTATGGATGAAGTTCAAATGAATGTAAAATTAATTAAAAATTAAAACATTCAAAAACAAAAAAACAAAAAAGAAAGAATATGAATGACAAGTTTTAATCTAACAAGTTGGGAGGATAAGTTGAAAATTTCTCATCTTACATTCACATATGATAAATGTGAACAAAGCTTATTGATGTTATAAATAAACTAATGATTTATAAATAATTTATTAAAACTTAAAGTTTGAAAAACAGGTGCATTTAAAAAAAATAAATAAAGTAGGAGGAAAATCCTTTTTTTTTGAAAAAAATAAAGTAACTTACAATAACTGGTTTGCACGTGATCACCATCGTTAATTTTACTACTGGATATGCTACGTTTCTTGGACAGTACAACAGATGCTGAAACGGTTGCATCGAAATTAACTTCATAGTTATTATCATTACAGCTAACTGGTGATGATGATGTTGATGACGATGTTGATGATGATTTTTTATCCTTGTCACAAATAATATTAGTGATATTCTCATTGATATTGTTACTATCTGGTGATTTATGCTTGATAACAACAGTTGTTGTATTATCATCTGTATTTGTTAATGATTCTTTTACTGGTGGTATATTGGTACCATATACGCAAAATGTTACATTATTACCATCATCATCTTCTTGTATTATACTATCCAATTTATATAGCATTGACATTTTTGCTATTTGATGATGATAATTTAACTGTTTATTAGATGATGATTATTATGAATGGATGGATTAATGAATGAAATAAAAGCAGATATAATAAGAGTAATTGTAGTAGCGATAGCAGTACCACTTGTACCAGTATTAGTGGTTGCAGTGGTAATGGTAATAATAGTAGTAGAATTAGTAATAGTAATAGAAATGGTAATAGTGATAGCAGTAGCTCTAGTAGTAGTAGTTAACAGTTGTACTAGTACTGATATAGTTACAAGAGCTGCTAAGATACTGACATAGAAAGCATTGATTGGTTAATAAATTTGATGGAATATAAATAAATTTATAAGAAGAAAGATGCAGAAGAATAGCGCTTCAAAAATAAAGATTTAGTGAGATGGAACAAACAATGAGTCTTATTACACAAAGTATGATTAAATTTACAAATAATATGTAGTGCTATAAGTGAAAATTAGCAGGAAGGAAAATAATGTTGTAAATTGATAACTAACAGCTGTCAATAATTTTTCAATAATATATCAAAATTGATACAAAATTTAATTAAACATCAAAAATTGATGTTATCATTCGCAGGATTATAATATAATATTGATGAAACCATTCGAAGAATCTCAATCGTTTATTAACCAATAAATAAATCAAATGATAGATATTGATTTGAATAAATGAAATGATGCAGAGAATTGATGAAACGAAATGTTGCAATATTGTTTATTAAAAGATCACTGTTTAAATTTTAAATTTTGATTAAAATAAAAGAGTTTCCGAGGAGGAAGGCTAGAATTGTTGAAATCTTACAGATGAAAAAGACAGCTGTTTGCTATAAATAAAGTAAAAGGAGATTGCTTGCTGAATCAATGAAATGTCAGGAATAATCATCATTCTGATCCTCATGACGATGGCTTGTTGTTGTAGTATTATTGTTGTTGTTGTTGCTGCTGCTGCTGCTGCTGCTAATGTTAATGCTGTTGCTACTGCTCCTGTTGTTGTTGAAAACGCTAAGATTGTCGTACTGTCCCTCCTTCTCCTACTATTAATCGCTTCACACCAATGATGATTGATGGTGATAATAATGATAATATAATGCCATTATATCAGCTAATTGAATAATAGTTTTAAACAACACTGATATCGATATTGTATACGATTTATATCCATTCTTTCATATAATTCATGCCCTCTTTTATTTCACTATAATTTTTTTACTGTTTTTTTTGTTGATATCAGTTGTTGCTGTTATTTGTAATTGTTGCTACAAACAAAACAAAATTTGATGAGTGATCATTGATAATGATCAATGACAATGAATGATGACGATAATGATTAATAATAATGTTATACATTATGATTGAAATGATGATGAATGATAATGATGATAATGATATAGCAAATAAAGTTAACAAAAATTTTCAATTTCTTTCTTCTTTCTTAGACATATAAAATAGAACGGATCAAAACATTTATTCTTTCGATAAAAATTCAATCCTCTTTTATGTCCTTCTTCAATTGTTTCATTTCTCTCTCTCTCTCTCTCTCTCTCTTTCTTACCTTTCCTCTTGCTTTTTCTTCAATTGTTTACTCTAATCTCGATTATAAGATTAAATTCTTGTACCTTGATCTCATTATTTATCTCTATCTCTTTTTTTCAAATTTTTCCCTATAGAATTATAAATGTGTTGTTGTTTAATTTCCGTTTTTCTTTTCGTTTTATTGCTTGAAGAAATATCTCGATTGATTGATTCATTAATAGCGGAAGAGCGGAAATTAATCCGGTAAAAGGAAAAGAGAGATTTGACAAAAATTCCTCTTTCTCATATCTTTCAAAATGTTATCAAATATAGGAGTAGCAATGACAGTTTACCCTTTGACAGTTTCAAATTAGTTAATCTTCCTCAATTAATTAGCACACAGATACTAACTTTTTGATTAATAAAAGTACAGATATGTAACCTACTGATCAATAAATACAGTTAGCATAAATAAATAAATAATCCCACTGGAACAATTAGTATAAATATGCGATCATTAGATCAATTAGTATAAATATATGATCTCGTGATCAATCAATCAATCACTGAGAACACAGATATAATCCATCAAATGAACAATACAGAAAATACATCCGTTATAAAATACATGCATGCAATAGATGGGTTATAAAATACATGCAAACAATACATATAGCATCTATTACGCTAATTGCAAAATATCAGTGTTGTAAGTGCATGCCAAACGATTTCATTCATACTTGCATAAGAATATCTAAGTAAGTTAAAACATATAAACTTTCTTTGCTTTTTGTTCCATTGTCTTCTTTTTTTCCCTTCAAACTTTTAATTGTTAAATTAATAAGTGAAGAAATAAATGATTGTTATCAAATTAGAAATATTATTTTGGGTTATAAAATTAGTTAATAAAAAATAGGAATATTAAGAATAGCTGTCAGTATGATATTTAATTTGAAGCATTTTATATCATCTACAAAGCAATATTTTATTTAGCAATTTTTATACCTATAATCTTTTTCATCCCTACGTTCCATTATATATTCATATAGCATTTATTTACGTACGTTACGTAATAAAATTAGCATTAAAAGAGTATTTTATATATATATATTAAGTAATGATATTATTCTCTCCAACTCAAAATATTCCATGAGATAGGTGGAAAGAAAGAGAGAAATATGAGAAGGAAAAATGATAAAATAGTGATAAAAATGATAAGAAGAAAATGAAAGATGATAAAAGAGTAGAAAATTAATAATAATAGAATAATGTAACAGTGAACGTTGTTACATTATTCTACCACTAATTTCCTAGGATATTTCATTATTTTACGGAAATAAATCCAAAATGAATATCGTAAAATAATGAAAGATCCTATAGCTAATCCATAATGAACTAAAATCTAACTGACACCTTCATTAATATTAGTAAAATTTAAATTTTGAAATAAACATTTTTTGAATAAAGATTAAGAAATGATAAGATGACATGATCATCATCAGATAATCAAAAGGATCGAATAGAAAAGCGAACATAAATTCTTACCGTTAAACGTTTTTATCTGTTTCTAGCAGTCCAAATCAAATCAATCAATAAACCATTCTAACATTCAATAACTTAGCGGTTGTGGAGCAAATAGCTAGAAATTTATTAGGCAAAAATATAATATCGTACATTGGAAAAGAAAATTGATATAGGAAAATTGACCAAATAAGTAATGAGTGATGAATAATGAGTAATGAAGTAATGGAGTAATAAGTAATCAGTAATGAATAAGCATCAGTACCACTTGTTGAAGACAAAATTTGATAATTACTGAATTTTGGTAATAGTTCTTAAATTGCAAAAAAAGAACATATGGATCGATGAGTAAGGAAAAGAAGTGATAGAAAAAATGATATTCTATCAGTCAATATGACAACATTTATTCGCTGATATCGTGGAATGAAATTATTCATTTTACTATCCTTTATCACATAATTGATAATTTCTTTGTTTATTCTTGCATAAGTTACATTTTATTATACTATTAAATAAAAGTTAATGAATTTTAAAAGTTTTATAATAAAATTTCAAAATTCTTAATTATTTTCAAATCATTAAAAGATACCATTCTTTTCTAAATATTTCCTAAATCATTTTGAAAGTAATACAATAAAAAAAATATGAAAATCATTTTAATGCTTCTTTTAATTACTAATTATTTAAAAAGAAAAAATTAATTCACACTAAACTAAATGCATTCATTGAAATTATCGATTAGAAATTATCATTATGATTAAATATCACTTCCAGAATTTTCTTCCTTTCAAAAGAAATTCTTTTCTCTTATGAAAATTTCCTTTTAAAATATTCAATAATCGATTAAAGATTATTGATTAATTAAAAGATTAACTGGATGTGTTATGCAATTTATTACAATCTCTAATATGGAATCTCTCTCTCCTCTCTCCTCTCTCCTCTCTCTTCTCTCCCTCTCTCTCTTACTTCTCTTACTTCTCTTCTTTTTCCATATTTCCATTTTTTATATATATAAATATGCAATATAGTCAATTTGTAGTAAGCAATAAAAAATAAGAATAAATCAATCGATATGTAAATTTCCCATTGATAATTCAAATAATTAAATACAATTAAAAAAATTACTTAATTATTTTTATTTAAATTGAAAAAGAACAAAGGCAGCCAAACAATAAATATATTTTATTTGAAATTGTTTAAAAATTATAAAAAGAAAGGAACAAAAATTCTGATAACTTCTAAATTTACATTAATTCCAATCCATAACATTGTAAATTCCATTTATTTAATATATTTGTAAATTGAAAATTAATCGATCATTTTTCTTATTTATCTTCAAAAGCTAATCAATAATTTTTATCACTTAAAATAAAAGGCTTATATCAGTGTTAAAAGATAATTTCATAGTGGTGATACGGTAGAGAAATTTCAACAATTCTCATATATTTCTATCTTTTTTTTAAAAAAAAAAAGTTAATGAATTTAAATTGCCAAGTAAATATTCGTTATCAGTTTCAGTAGAAATAATTAATTTACAGAATTATATGAGTAATTAATAACATAAGATTATATGAAACATTATTTAAGAAATATTCACTATTTGGTAAATTGATAAAAAATATATATCAAAATAGAATGAATAATATTATAATGTATATTTACGGCTTAGTAAAATTAATCACTCATAGAATAGGGAGAAGAAAAAGCTTTGTGTGGTAACAATTAAAGCTTTGTTAAGGAAATAATTATTTACCAATAATTAATTGCAGGAAGTTGTATGAGTAAATTTGCATCAGAAAAAAGCTGAATCATTAATTAAAAAAGCTAAATTATCGTCATATTATTAATTATGCAATGATTTCTAAGTTTATTATATTATACACTTGAATGATACAATCAAATTGATTTAACAAAAGCTAAATAATCCTAAATAAAATTTCAAAAAAAAAAGTGCTAATTAAAATTTCATAATTAATTATATGCTTTTCCATACCTTCTTTGATATGCATTAAATAAATAAATAAACAAATTCTTTTTTTTTTATCAATAAATTGCAAAAAATTAAACTTACAAGTGCCTGACTTATCCTTACTGCTCGATTGATCCTCTGTATTTTTCTTTAAAAATTTCAGCATTTAGAGCACAGTCTCTTCAAAATAGTGGGAAAGTTTTTCCAACACAAAAAATTTTTCAAACTTCTTCTCCTTCTTTATTCCTCGTTATAATTATTCCAATTATTCTAATAGTGCCAAGAAATTTGAAATAGGCACAGATAGCAGCAGTATTAGTCGATTTGCAATAATATACAGTTAAAAGAACAGAATAGAATAGAATAATAGAATATAGGTAAAAATTAAATCGCAAAATTTTAAATGATAGAAATAAATTAAGTGAAAAAAATATATGAAATGGATGAAAAAAAGGCTACTAGCGAAATAGTAAATCAGAATTTGTATAATGCCAACGAGTACGATGTTTCACCGTAATTTGCTCCACCTGAATCGTCCAATTACCGTAATCGCGATCTCTAGCTGTAAGTCACTGTCATTTTCATTGCAAACAACAAACATTTCGATCTGAAATTTTCTAAAATCGATTTTTAAAACGCCTTATCATGTACTGCAGGGTGTCTCGCAATGGTGAACCAGTTCAC